TGTAATGTAGTTAGCGCACGGAACAAAGCTGCAACGTCGGTCTACAGAAACATTGCACTGTGGGCGTAGCCTCCGAGAGTCAGAATGTCAGGCAAGCCCTCGGTATGGCAAGCTCGAACTGATGGGAGAGTGTTGCAGCGCTCCAGGCCATCTGTTCCGAAGTTATCATTGTTCGGTGCGTGTTTACTTCGAAGCATGGGTTGGTCTTGCGTTTTCCGGGAGTTTGCGGGCTGTTACGGCACCCGAAACGTTCCCTCCGATCTCAAGTGCCTCTACTGGTACTCGTCGAGACTCAGGCAGCCATGACAAGCATCGAGTTCACCAGGGTTTCCGCCAGGTAGGAATGCCAGCCGTCCGAATTGGAATTCGTAAGCGGGGCTGTTTTCAGAGTGCGGATCCCGAAGTTGGAACCTGACCTATCGGTGCCGAAGTACAGTTGGCAGGTGAAGCCGAGCAGGTGGAGAACGACGTCAACACTAACTCGTGCTCAGATGCACTCCTAGCAGCCTTTGCCAGTTTTCCGTATGAGGTCCTGAACCCTTCACCTCCGAAGAGCATTGATCCAAAACGTGATGGACCTGCGCGATAGATGCCGCAGCTCGCCGACTCAGGGTCTATGGCACGAAGGCTGAGATCTCAGAGGAGCTCTTCAAGTACACCTCCTGCCGCAAGATGGGGGAACATGAGAGATCAAGTGAGGCCAATCCTCAATGCTTCTTGGCAGAATAAACTATACGATAATATACTTTATGCTTCGAAAAAATCTTTATTCTGAATATACAATACAATACCATGCTAGATGCTATACTGTACTATACTATCACATACTGTATTGTACTATACTATACTATATAATCTGCTACGCTTTACCATACTCCAGGCATTACCAGGAGTGCCTCCCTCCAAGGTCACTGCAAAGCATAAACCTGTACGCCGAGGCTCGTATTTCTTGGTCTTTCAGAACAGTGCTCATGCTGACCACAGCTATGCCGCGAATTGCGTGCCTGCCCAAATGTGCGCGGAGCTTCGGCAGCAAGCACGCAGGCAACCCGCCCTAAACCCTAAATACTGGTCGTTCTGAAGGTCTTCGGGTGGCCTTTGAAGCTTGAAGGGATCGCGAAACCGGCACAGAGGCTGCGAAAGGATTATTGGCAGGAATGCGCTGAAGAAAAGTAGTCGACTCCCAAGTATACCCCAAATTCTAAACCCACGTGGATCGGCTGAGCAAGTTTCAGATAGGTTCAGCTCCGGCAAGGAAGCAGCAGTCCGTGGCCTATGGTTGCAAGAGCCGATGTCCAGCATGAAACCTTAAACAAAACCGTAGACCATTAGCAAGAAATTAGCTCGAAGGAAGCTCCGATGAAGGAGACGAAAAGAGTTTTTTCGGCATAAGTATTGCGAAAAGAAAGATAGTTCTTTCAAGGTTACGCCTCACATAAGGGGCCATTGCTTTATTGATGTCGGTGCTTCCGTCGCCTTTCACCAGGATGACGTCGTGGGCATGACCAAGGGCAAAATCGCGACGTACGGCGTCGTTGAGCGGATTTTGCAGCAGAACCTGGGGAGTTTGGCGCACCTTTGGCTCTTCTTGGCAAAGCTTTCGTTCAAGCCCCTTAACCCTAAACCCTCAAACCTGATGTGATTTAAGGTATACTTCCTTGACTAACGGGGTTTCGGAGATTTTCTGGATATATCCTACACTCTAAACCAAAAAACCCTAAACCCAAAAAACCTTAAACCCAGGTACATCGGCAAAGGCCCTCTTGGCAAGTGCCTGGAAGGCATGACGTCCGTCAACGAAGGCAACCTGAAGGGCCACCTCAAGGTGCCGGGTTTAGGGTTTAGGGTTTAGTGGGGGCATTGGAGGGTTGAAGGGGCCTAAACATTCTTGGGGTTCCTTGTTATGTTTATAGTATAATCGGCCCCAATCGAATTATTACGCCCCCTACAGTATGCCATGTCAAAGGCGGACACCAGGACATGTGCGATGGTGAACTGAGTGTACGGCTTCGTGTTTGGATTTGGATCAAGAAGAGCCTGTTAGAGGCTGTTTCGGCGTGAGTGAATGCAGGACCCAGAGACTCCAATATCTCTTACTTAAGGAGTATACCTTAAAGCACATAAGGGATGCTACTATAATTTAAGCTATATTCCTTTATTATCTAAACTGACGGGTGTTGGAGTCTCTGAGGACACGGGTCTTGTGCCATGTGAGGTAAATTCACCATTACCTTGCGTGCAGCAGGTTTCCATCTGAACATGAGAACATGAAGAATGCCAAAGCAGGCAGCGAAGCCGCCTTTACTCCCGATCCCTCTCTTCCAGAGCTCTCTTCTTGAGTCGTGACCTCTGAAGAACTGCACCAGGGCATTCAGGCAGTTCGGGGATCGAAGCCCGATTCCCAGAGACTCCAATGTCCCATAACTAAAGAATATACGTAAAATTAAAGTAACATCCCTTACGTATATGATTGAATGATATTTAAGGTTTCTTCCTTAATCAAGGGACATTGGCGTCTCTGGGCACAGCCATCCCCAGCATCTTGAAAGCGTATCGGCACAGGCTGTACAGCAGATGCCAAACACACACCAGGTACCAGAGCTAGCCTCATGGGCTGCTTCCGTGGGTTGCACGACCATACATAAAACCGTTCACATTGCAATAGCTATAACGTCAGGGTTTCTATCATTGTCATGATAACCATCATGATACTATACTACTGATAATAAGCATTCTTAGAATTCTGTGCAACATCGCACGTGTCTCAGGAGGAGCGCATCGTCAAACTCGGCAGCCTCAATGTCGTCGCAGACCTTATGACAAGTGGAAAGGCAGGTGCCACGAAGCAGAAGCTGGCCAGCACGGTGATCGCATAACTAGGATTTCATCTAGAAGTGTCAGAACAGGTGATCTGAGATCTAGCTTATCGCTTCAAATAGGCAGGAACCAAGCAAGCATTTTTTGTCACAACTTGCAGTTCTGGGTGCGCATGAAGCCCGGGAGCCTGAATTTCGGGACAAGGGTTGCAGTTCAGAGCCTGTCGCATTGCCATGCCTGCAGCTGTTGCCGAGGGCTCTCACCTTCGATGGCATGGCACCGGGTCTGCAGTGTTGATTGGACCGGAAGGGGAGGAAGAGAGGGGTGGACGGAAGGGTTGGCAGACAGGCTTTCGCTGGATTCCGAAGCGAGCTCAGTCAGCCTGTAGAGCATTGTGCCGCTAGTGCCCATGTGCAAGCTCAGGAGAAAATTCCCGCCGTGAAGTCTTTCAACAAGTGCGTTAACGATGCCAGCGTGGGCTACCTCTTCGTGTTCAAGATTCTTGGATGATTTCCATTCCCAGGCGTACGCAACTCCAAGTGCCATAACCCTAGCTCAGTTTGCAGCTTGCCCAGGAACGACTACTGGAGCGGTGGCAAGAGCGACGTGGATCTGGATTCATTCCAACAGTACAAGGAGCCCGTGACATCCCGTGAGGCTGAGGGGGGAGGCCCGCAAACTCTGCGATTTTTGCAGGACAAGCAGACGAAGATCAAGGCAGAGAAGAAGAAGGAGGCCGAGAAGCAAAAGGTCGAACAGGCAGCGGCGGCCTCCGAGCCCAAGCCGGAGGAGGCGAGGCATCCCAATGACGGGGGTATAGCGGGTGGATTTGCAATGCGTGGTGTGCAGGGGCTTGGGGGAGGCTCCAGCCTGCGTGTCGTTTAAGCTTTGCGGTTGGCGTCAGGGTGCATAGCCGCAGCCCTGTCTGGCGTTTCTTCCGGTGCGACCCAATCTGGATTTTGGCAAGAGCTGCGCCTGAGGTGTCCCAGCGCCGTCTCTCTGAGCAGGATGCAGTTCTTGTCTGAGCAAGTGCTGGCAGCACTACGACATGTCCTTACAATTGGGGCGCCAGTGCTCGAAGCGGCACTGGTGCCTCCTTGGAAGCAACGGCTTCTGACCCTTGCCCCCACTGCGCACTGCGCACGCTATCCCGGGCTCATTGCTCAATCTTGGCTTAGTCGACCGAACAACTGTACGTCTCTGCAACACAGGCCCGGGGTAGACTTTGTGCATTTTCGCACTATGCGCCACACCTCTCACAGGCTCATGCTTTGAAGGAGGCTTGTGAGGAGTGTGCATTTCGTCTCCTTCCGCGTAATGCCTGATCCACGGCAGCACTCGCCATGGCTATGAAAAGGCTGCACCGCTGGAAGATACTATTTTGGGTTTTTTATAATTATAATAGTATGAGGGGCCCCAAAACCCTATTCTAATTAGCGTCTTTCCATGACTTCCAAAGGCGTCCATGCGCCCTTGCTCCCGGTCCTGGTCGCGCTCGCGAATTCGCCATCGACGGCGTTGTCACAGTCGTCGTCGGCGTCCTGTGTCATCATTTTAATCTTCAGTACTCCTCCTCCTCCTCCTCCTCCTCCTCCTCCTCCTCCTGTTTGAGCTTTTGCAACAACGCTGGTGACATTTGCAGCCACAGAAGCACTTTTCACTGTAAGTCTCCATCATACTCCCGGATCCGCGTGCCGGCTCAGGGAAGAAAGAGAGAGAGGGAGAGAGCCGTGTGGAAGAAAAAGAAGGGGAGAGAGAGAGAGAGAGAGAGTGAGTGAGCGAGCAGGAGAGATAGAGGAATGTACTGTACCACAGGCGCTAGAATGATGAACTAGTAGCTTTGCCACGTGTGCCTCGATGCATGTAGTGCCAGCAGCAGTCTTCCAGGTAGACAGGCTTTGCATGGTTCTTCGTTCACTAGCAGCATGCAACCATGCCAAAGGGATGGCAGGGATTGTTGGCACTTGCATCGTGACTTAACGAAGCACTGGCTTTGCCTTGCGGCCTTGGCTTAAAGCTGCTCAGAACTTGATTCCTGTTCACTTCGCGTCGGCGTCAGAGCAGAAGCCCCGTGGATGGAGCAGTATGGCTTTTGTTGTAGTGGGTTTCACTCTTCAGGCGGATCGTTCTCCAGCGTTTCCAGAGCTTTTGCATAGAAGCCGCAGCATCTAGACTTCGGCCGCATGACTCAGGTCATGCTGGGACGCCTCGTCCCGTTTGCACTGATCGCGCTGTGCGATGCGTACAAGCGCGAGGCGACTTCTCTCACGGGGCAGGCGCGCCCGGAGTTGTGCGAATCGGCATGTTGTAGCAGGTGCTCTGTCCGAAACTATGGCGATCAAAGCGACAGTCGTAAGGCATTCTGTTCTGAAGCTGAAGCTTTCTGGTAAATGTCCTTGCTCGCCTTGCCTGGCAGGAGTTTGCCGGGATGAACTTCAAGGACCGAGGGCTGCGGTCACCTGCCGCTCAGGGTTTCGAGTTTTTTGCGGTCCCCAGGCACACCGTAGTCCACAAACTCTAGGATCGCAGACTCTGGGCCTTTCGGCCCAGACCCAACCCGCAAGCACCGACCGAGGACAAAGCTGAATCATTGCGCCAGGTCCATGCGGGCATGCTGCTTGTAGGGATTGTCAGTGCAACTTTGAAGTTGAGGAGGTGTAATGTAGTTAGCGCACGGAACAAAGCTGCAACGTCGGTCTACAGAAACATTGCACTGTGGGCGTAGCCTCCGAGAGTCAGAATGTCAGGCAAGCCCTCGGTATGGCAAGCTCGAACTGATGGGAGAGTGTTGCAGCGCTCCAGGCCATCTGTTCCGAAGTTATCATTGTTCGGTGCGTGTTTACTTCGAAGCATGGGTTGGTCTTGCGTTTTCCGGGAGTTTGCGGGCTGTTACGGCACCCGAAACGTTCCCTCCGATCTCAAGTGCCTCTACTGGTACTCGTCGAGACTCAGGCAGCCATGACAAGCATCGAGTTCACCAGGGTTTCCGCCAGGTAGGAATGCCAGCCGTCCGAATTGGAATTCGTAAGCGGGGCTGTTTTCAGAGTGCGGATCCCGAAGTTGGAACCTGACCTATCGGTGCCGAAGTACAGTTGGCAGGTGAAGCCGAGCAGGTGGAGAACGACGTCAACACTAACTCGTGCTCAGATGCACTCCTAGCAGCCTTTGCCAGTTTTCCGTATGAGGTCCTGAACCCTTCACCTCCAAAGAGCATTGATCCAAAACGTGATGGACCTGCGCGATAGATGCCGCAGCTCGCCGACTCAGGGTCTATGGCACGAAGGCTGAGATCTCAGAGGAGCTCTTCAAGTACACCTCCTGCCGCAAGATGGGGGAACATGAGAGATCAAGTGAGGCCAATCCTCAATGCTTCTTGGCAGAATAAACTAGACGATACTGTATTATATATTTCACCAACAAGTGTTTACGCTATATACTGTACTATACTATAATCTGCTCCGCTTTACCATACTCGAGTCATTAGCAGGAATGCCTCCCTCCAAGGTCACTGCAAAGCATAAACCTGTACGCCGAGGCTCGTATTTCTTGGTCTTTCAGAACAGTGCTCATGCTGACCACAGCTATGCCGCGAATTGCGTGCCTGCCCAAATGTGCGCGGAGCTTCGGCAGCAAGCACGCAGGCAACCCGCCCTAAACCCTAAATACTGGTCGTTCTGAAGGTCTTCGGGGTGGCCTTTGAAGCTTGAAGGGATCGCGAAAGCGTCACAGAGGCCGCGAAAGGATTATTGTCTTCAGGAAAGCGCTTAAGATGTCGGCAAAAAGTTAGTCGAATGCCCAAGTATACCCTAATTCTAAACCCATGTGGATCGGCTGAGCCAGTTTCAGATAGGTTCAGCTCCGGCAAGGAAGGAAAGCAGTCCGTGGCCTATGGTTGCAGTAGTTCTTTCAAGGTTACGCCTCACATAAGGGGCCATTGCTTTAGCGATGTCGGCCTTTCACCAGGATGACGTCGTGGGCATGACGAAGGGCAAAATCGCGACGTACGGCGTCGTTGAGCGGATTTTGCAGCAGAACCTGGGGAGTTTGGCGCACCTTTGGCTCTTGTTGGCAGAGCTTTCGTCCAAGCCCCTTAACCCTAAACCCTCAAACCTGATATGATTTAAGGTATACTTCCTTGACTAACGGGGTTTCGGAGATTCTCTGGACATATCCTACACTTTGAACCTTAAAACCCTAAACCCAAAAAACTTTAAACCCAGGTACATCGGCAAAGGACCCCTTGGCAAGTGCCTGGAAGGCATGACGTCCGTCAACGAAGGCAACCTGAAGGGCCACCTCAAGGTGCCGGGTTTAGGGTTTAGGGTTTAGTGGGGGCATTGGAGGGTTAAAGGGGCCTAAACATTCTTGGGGTTCCTTGTTATGTTTATAGTATAATCGGCCCCAATCGAATTATTACGCCCCCTACAGTATGCCATGTCAAAGGCTGACACCAGGACATGAGCATTTGTGAACTGAGTGTACGGCTTCGTGTTTGGATTTGGATCAAGAAGAGCCTGTTAGAGGCTGTTTCGGCGTGAGTGAATGCAGGACCCAGAGACTCCAATGTGCCATGTAAGGTAAATTCACCATTACCTTGCGTGCAGCAGGTTTCCAGCTGAACATGAGAACATGAAGAATGCCAAAGCAGGCAGCGAAGCCGACTCAACCCCCGATCCCTCTCTTCCAGAGCTCTCTTCTTGAGTCGTGACCTCTGAAGAACTGCACCAGGGCATTCAGGCAGTTCCGGGTGTCGAAGCCCGATTCCCAGAGACTCCAATGTCCCATAACTAGAGAATATGCGTAAAATTAAAGTAACATCCCTTACGTATATGATTGAATGATATTTAAGGTTTCTTCCTTAATCAAGGGATATTGGAGTCTCTGGGCACAGCCATCCCCAGCATCTTGAAAGCGTATCGGCACAGGCTGTACAGCAGATGCCAAACACACACCAGGTACCAGAGCTAGCCTCATGGGCTGCTTCCGTGGGTTGCACGACCATACATAAAACCGTTCATATTGTACTAGCTATAATGTCAGTCTTTCTATCATTGTCATGATAACCATCATGATACTATACCACTGATAATAAGCATTCTTAAGACTCTGTGTAACATGGCACGTGTCTCAGGAGGAGCGCATCGTCAAACTCGGCAGCCTCAATGTCGTCGCAGACCTTATGACAAGTGGAAAGGCAGGTGCCACGAAGCAGAAGCTGGCCAGCACGGTGATCGCATAACTAGGATTTCATCTAGAAGTGTCAGAACAGGTGATCTGAGATCTAGCTTATCGCTTCAAACAGGCAGGAACCAAGCAAGCATTTTTTGTCACAACTTGCAGTTCTGGGTGCGCATGAAGCCCGGGAGCCTGAATTTCGGGACAAGGGTTGCAGTTCAGAGCCTGTCGCATTGCCATGCCTGCAGCTGTTGCCGAGGGCTCTCACCTTCGATGGCATGGCACCGGGTCTGCAGTGTTGATTGGACCGGAAGGGGAGGAAGAGAGGGGTGGACGGAAGGGTTCGCAGACAGGCTTTCGCTGGATTCCGAAGCAAGCTCAGTCAGCCTGTAGAGCATTGTGCCGCTAGTGCCCATGTGCAAGCTCAGGAGAAAATTCCCGCGGTGAAGTCTTTCAACAAGTGCGTTAACGATGCCAGCGTGGGCTACCTCTTCGTGTTCAAGATTCTTGGATGATTTCCATTCCCAGGCGTACGCAACTCCAAGTGCCATAACCCTAGCTCAGTTTGCAGCTTGCCCAGGAACGACTACTGGAGCGGTGGCAAGAGCGACGTGGATCTGGATTCATTCCAACAGTACAAGGAGCCCGTGACATCCCGTGAGGCTGAGGGGGGAGGCCCGCAAACTCTGCGTTTTTTGCAGGACAAGCAGACGAAGATCAAGGCAGAGAAGAAGAAGGAGGCCGAGAAGCAAAAGGTCGAACAGGCAGCGGCGGCGGCCGAGCCCAAGCCGGAGGAGGCGAGGCATCCCAATGACGGGGGTATAGTGGGTGGATTTGCAATGCGTGGTGTGCAGGGGCTTGGGGGAGGCTCCAGCCTGCGTGTCGTTTAAGCTTTGCGGTTGGCGTCAGGGTGCATAGCCCTGTCTGGCGTTTCTTCCGGTGCGACCCAATCTGGATCTTGGCAAGAGATGCGCCTGAGGTGTCCCAGCGCCGTCTCTCTGAGCAGGATGCAGTTCTTGTCTGAGCAAGTGCTGGCAGCACTACGACATGTCCTTACAATTGGGGCGCCAGTGCTCGAAGCGGCACTGGTGCCTCCTTGGAAGCAACGGCTTCTGACCCTTGCCCCTACTTCGCATGCTGTCCCGGGCTCATTGCTCAACCTTTGACGCAAGTTAGCCGGCCGGCCAGAACATGAAAAAGTCTCTTCAACGAAAGCTCGGGTCAGAGATTGTCTGCTTTCTGCACTGAACGACACCCATCACACGCTCACACTATGAGAGTGGTGTGTGTGAGAGTGGGGTAGCTTTCGGCGTCTCCTTGCCAGATGCCTCGCATTCTGTGTCTCGCATGCCTGTGCTATCGCGCGTTGGAAATTGGAGAGAGCCTTCCTTCCTCAGGCTTCGGTCTAATATTTTAGGAGTACCTGGCAAGTACAAGAAGTCATGGACAATGCACACTGCTTAAAAACAGATGGCACTAAATACGACAGCAGCATATGACGGTAGAAAGAGGCTAGGCACGAGAAAATCGTGGCAGTAAGCTGCACGGCTCAAGTAGAGGAGTTGCGCAACCTCACCATCAACCTTTGTGTACTTTCCAGAGACGCGGCACAGGTTCTGCCATTCCCCGCATCGACATGAATTTCGTAGTGGTTCCTTGGCTCTGTGAATCCGGCGTTCCCTGCCCACTGTGCCGACACCACCCCGACTCGACGCCCCACCGCAGCCCCCCCCGCCTGTGCCCGCGATGAAAACTTTAGCTTGGAAGCGGGTGGATAGGCTTGTTATCCTGGCACAAGAGTGTTCTATTGCCGGGATTCCATGAACTGAGGTATCTATCCAAGACGTGAAGTTCCCACAATCACGACAGCACGCCGCGTCCCACGATGCCCTAAAGCCTCGAGCCGGTCGTAATTTTCAGTCAAGCCAGACTCCTCCACTCGGCTCCTCCTTTCTCCACCGCGAACTAAAAGGCCGCAAGTGTCGGGAAGCCCCTAAAACCCTAAAACCCTAAACCCCAAACCGTAAACTGTAAACACCCCTGTAGATGTCGTAGCGACGCAAGCTTTTGGTCACGTGTTTGGAATCACGGCTCAAGACCTGCCACAGTCCGACGAGACTAGAGGAAGTGTCGTGGATGAATGGATGACGTCAGGATTGTGCCTGGAAGGGGTTCAGAGTTTAGTAAGTGCTCCGGGTCTGGGGTTCAGGATGTAGCAATGAAGTGCAGGATTTAGTAAGATAAGCATAGCAGATGTGACGGTCACCAGCTTTACTGCTTGTCACTCGTAAATCGAGATGAGTTCTTGGTATGTAGTCCTATGGAAGTAGATATATTTTGCAAATACACATATTTATATAGATATAGATATAGATGTAACCAAATAAGCACATCCATGTATATTTGGATAGGTAGATAGATCGATAGATCGGTAGATCGATGGATGGATGGATTGATGGATGGATGGAGGGACGGACGGACGGATGGATGGGTGGATTGACACACACGCACACACACACACACACATATATATATATATATATTTACATACGCGTGCATGTACAGACAGATAATACATATACGTATACATGTACGTTCTAGTATATACACACATGAATGAATAAATAAATATAAATATAAATATAAATATAAATATACATATAAATATACAAAAAATAAATATAAATATAAATATAAATAAATAAATATATATATATATAGATGTTATACATATACGCATAAATTATATGTATATATATATATATATATATTTGTATGTAGTGACAGTGTATATATGTATGTATATGTATACATACACAGGATACAAGCTTATGCTTGCTCCCCCCAGCTTGCGGAACCCACAGGAAGACTTTATTTCGTTTCCACTTACAAAGAAGTTCGCCTGCAGTTGTTCGTTCCTTTGTTGCAGCAACTGGCAGGGGTAGCCATCTTGGTTTTGTCCTCATGTCCTGTCCCGTTCGCTAAGGCCATGCTCTCCAGCCTCATTTGCTTGGCACTTGTGGTACAGGGTCATGCCTGGGCGCGCATTTCGGTGACGGTCAGCGGGGAGGCGCGTCCGCGGGTCTCGGCTGGAACGTCGCCCGCGAGATCTCCTGGGTAGGGCTTAAAGTTTCGACTCTGTTCGTATACCCCCTTGTGGAATTGTGACACAGGGTTTGATGTTGTCAACTTGTTCAGCGTTTTGTTTCTGTTTCTGGAAGTCATGTGCAAAGGACAGTCGCTCTCAAGGGTCTGACGTGGGTTGTCTTCTTTTGGGACGACTGTCTGCATCACGAAGCAAAGCCGGTGTCAGCCTGGCAGGAAATGGCGGGTAAGAGCATCCAGGACCCGGCCGCAGTCGAGCAACTGTTTGCGTAACTCTCATTTTCATACTGCCGTCCTGCCGGCCTGCCTGCTACCTGTCTACACACCTACCCAACTGCATACCTGCGGTTGCGACGACGATGACGACGACTACTACGATTACTACTTCTAACCACCCCTCGACTACCATCACCGCTACTGCGATCACCACCACCAACACCGCCGCCCCAAAAAACCCGCCGTCGCAACCGGTCCTGCCACCGCCATCGAAACTGCCACAACACTCACCAGCGGTTTTAGGCTTAGGGTTTCAGGTGGCAGGGGGGTGGTTTGTTTTCTGGGACAGGATTTCGGAATGCAGGACAACCGGAGCTTGTCAACCTCCGGGTTTCCCAGAATCCCGAACCAGGGACTCACAGGGGCCTTACTAGTTGGGATACGAACCCTCACTGGAAAGAGGACAAGGAGAAGGAGCTTGCCAAGGTCCATGGTTTCTCATGCTGCTTCGTTTTGAGTTGGGTTCCGTTCTGGGTAAAGTGAGATTTGCTTTCGAACAGCTTTGGCATACATTGGCGCTGTCGGGATGGGTTCGTCGCCGCTTTCCAGGATGTTCGGGTGCAGGTATACCGGCAGAGTACTTTCATCGTTGTCTCCTGTCTCAGCGGAACGCCTGAGTTGCCACTTCGAACGTACGACAATGGTCTTAAGATTGGCCGCCCCCCGTCGTTATCGTCGTTGCGTTGCGGCCGTGTTCGTGCAATTTCAGCTAGTGTGGTTGCATCGGCCTTTGATGCCGCTGCATGTAATCGCTGCTCAACCTTTGGGGTTTTCAGCTGTATCTTAGAGGTGGGTACGGGGATGATGATGGTGGTTTGCCTGATGATGTTGTCGTAGATTTCAATTTCGTATGCTACAACATGGCGTTGTTGTTGTTGATGATGGCGATTGCTTCTCGGCTTCTGATCACAGAGCAAGCAAACGTGAGCAGTGAGTTATGTTGGTATGGCGTACGTTCGCTGGCTTCTAGGTTGCTTTCGCAGAGCTCTTCAGTTGGACGCGCTGATGTGCAATGATTCCCGTGTGATGGATGCCCGGGACCAGGAAGCTACCTTCCGAAACCGAAGCGAAAGGTGTTCACCCGAGCCAGGCAAACTCAAACTTCGGAAAGCTTGACACCATTGGCGAGTGCTGCGGCGACCAGCAAAGCCACGAGGCAGCACAAAGTTAGGCCTATACAAGTGTACAGACGTAGCGCATAACTTGTTGACTTCGAGCAGGCTTAGAGCGTATGCTACAGGCTGATGCGGCATGGTGTCGAACCGCTGAAGCGATTGGTCCAGTTTCAGACCTGGATGGGGACGACACGTGCCCATGAATGCTTAGCTAGTTGAAGTGGAAAGCTCGTTGGAACAGCACTAAAATCACAGCCGATCACCACCAAAGTCTAATTGGTTCTGCGATTGACAGGAAAGGTGAAAGGATTTCCTAATGTTGCATTCCGCAGACTGTATGGTGCGCTGCAGTAGGATGAATTTCTGGCCGGAACCGGGGAGTCGTTTTTCATCGCTGAGCTGCTACTAGAACATATATCTCGTCTCTTTTCGCCTCGAATTGGCCCCAAAACAGTGGACCCTAAGCCATCATTCGCAACCTACTTCATTCTTTTTGTTCTATAAATGTTTCAGAGGTTTTAGCCGTCTTGCTTTGAAAGTTCATTTTAATGCTAGGGGTATTGTATTGATGGCTTTGATCGACGTGTCAATCTGTTTCGCAGGTTTTTTTAAGGTTTTGATAAGGGCTCTCAGCAGGTTTTGAATTCTTAGCAGGTTCTCAAGTAGGAGTACGCTTATTGGGGGGTACCTAAAGTCAGTACTCGACTACTCGTGCAGCAGGGCTATCTTCCGCGACTCGCGGTTGTGCCTTCGCTTGCTTGTCCGTGCTGAATCTGAGCTTCAAACTCAGCGTAAGATTTTGCCAATAGCACAGATTTTGCTCCAAGCCCCGAGCCGTAACCCCCGCCAAACAAACATACATCTGGAGCCCTAAGCCCGAAACCCTACAGCGGAACCGCTACGGGAACCCGTAAAGAAACTGACAACCCAAATCCCAAGTCATAGTTCATGGGTAGTTGTAAGTGGGGTTATAAGTACCCTGATATGGGTTAGAATTACAGTTACCCTACTTATAGCCCCACTTATGACTACCCATGAACCTCCAAATAGAACCTACACCCTATACCCCTATAGAATCCTTATAGATCCCTTTGAAGGGACCCACCCGTATAACTACCCATGAAACTCCAAGTAACCTTCGGCCCAAAGACCTTCCCGAGCCGATCTCAGTGTATCAAAGCAGGGCCCCCGACAACAACGACGACTACTTGGAGTTTCATGGGTGGTTATAAGGGTTCCTTTAAGGGTCCCTTCAAAGGGGTCTATAGGGATTCTATAAGGGTACAGGGTTAAGGTTCTATTTGGAGTTTCATGGGTAGTTGTAAATGGAGTTATACGTAAAGTAGCAACTATCGTTTTCATGCATATTCGGGACTTCTAACGCTACTCATATCCCTAAACCCTGAACTATTGAACCCAACAGATGGCACAGGGGCCTTTCCTTGATCTTCTTGGGATGGCCCAGGCGAGGCTGATGTGGTGCGCAACGCGATCAATACGAACGAGTTTCTTGTCTTGGGTTCAGGGTTTATGGTTAAACCCTAAACCTTAACGAGGTTTGGGGGTTCGGGGTTTGGGGTCATGGCTTCAGCCGACTGATGGAGCTTCTTGTTCGGAGTTTACGTGCTTTGGCGACGTCTTTTCTCCGTTTGCATGCCAAGCCCTTTGAGAGTTTCCGAAAATGAGGGGTACCTGTTTCGGGGTCCTTTTCATAAGGATCCTACTTTTTAAAGTACTAAAGCGCCCCTCTTTTCGGACACCCCCATTTGTGCCAAGTGTCTACGGCTCCAGTGGCGAAGTCGAGAATGACATCTTCTCGAGGACGTCTTGCCACAAGATCGGTACCGTCACTGCCAAAGAGAAGGAGTCCTTCGGAAAGCCGGGGTGCTCCTACTTCTACATCTTCCAAAACCAGCTTCACGCCGATCACGAGTTTGCCGCCAACTGTGTTCCCTCCACCATCTGCAAGGACTTTGCACGTCAAGTACCCATAGATCCCCTAATCATAATAACCCTCATAGACCCTTGTAAAGGAACCCCATTCTGATCATCAAGGCGTCCATTTTACAGGAGGGCCATCTGAAAGGAAGACAATCCACGGCCCCGAAACTCCGGTAGAGAAGCCCTGAACCCTAAACCTTTAATACAGGGGCCTCAACAGTTACCTATACTATTTTGGGGCTCCCTTATTGTCATTGTAGTATAATGGGCCCCAAAACCCTATTCTAATTCTTATTGCCGCTATAATAGCCCTCAAGCAGGGGAAACATCAGCTGCTCCTGGTGTCAGGAACTGCGAATCAGAAATCGGCCATGCATGGGAAACTGCACATCGGAGACCTGCACACGTTCTGAAACTGTGCATCGGAAGCCTGCAGGCATCGGAAACGTCGGGAAGTGACGAGCATCGGAGTCTGAGCAGGGGAAACCGATGATAAATGATAGCATCCGTGCTACAGGTGCATCCAGAAACAGAAGCATCCATGCCCGGACGATGGCAACGTCCATGCATCAACCCGTTCTGGGTTCCCTAATCACGGGTTCTGGGTTTCGAAATCCGCCGGTCTTGCTTTCCGAATCACCCGCCTGGTTTCCGAATCAGCCACTCTGCACATCGGTCGACCACTTCTGGTGAACCGACTGCAGTGTCTGCTGCTCTGCGTGGCAGCCCAAAGCCCTAAACCCTAAGGCCCTAACCCCCACGCCCGAACCCCAAGCCCTAAATCCTGACCAGCAAAAATTAACCCCTAAACTCATAAACCCCCTAAGCCACTAAGCCCCCTAAACCCAGGGTCTCTTGGTACCTGGGTTTTTTTAAGTGCCTCTGACAGGAGGATGTGGTGGGCATGACCGAGGGAAAGGCTGGGTTCTTGTTAAAAAAAAATTTGGTTTTAAGTTACCATAATAAGGGTTTCCGAAAATAGGGGCCCCTAATATAGTACCCTAAATAATAGGTTCAGTTACCATAATAAGGAAACCATATGGGAGTTTCCGAAAAAGTAAGGGTGCCTTATTTGGGGTCCTTATAATAAGGATCCTACTATTTGGAGTGCCATATCAGGGTCCCCAATCTCCGGAAACCCTCATATTACTTACTATAGATCCCTATCATGGTAACTTAAATTTGGTTTCTTAACAAGAGCCCAGAAGGTCGCCACGTACGGGGTCGTCATGCAGATCTTGCAGCAGAACCTCGGGAAGCTGCAGGGCATCTGGAAGCTGGGCTCTGGAGGTTCATGGGGGGTAGTTATAAGTGGAGTAATAAGTGGGGTAAATACTTATGACCCAGATTTTTGGTTCAGGGGTTTAGGCCTAAGGGTTTAAGCGTTTCAGGGTTTAAGGTGCTGGGTTTGGGGTTTAGGGTAGGGCTCTGGTTTTCGGCACCAGGGTTTCAGGTTTAGGGCTTTGAGTTTCGAGGACTGGGCGGGGGGGGGGCGCTGGAGGGAGGAAGCCGTCGAAGGATGAGGGCGAAGGCTCCGAGAGCATCTTGTTTTCCATGGTTTCCTTATTCTGTTTAACTCAAACTAAGTCGCGTAACCCTCAACCGCCACAAGGCCCTTACAACACCTTTGTAATTCCCTTGCAAAGACCTTATCAAAAAATCTCATGCCCCTCTAAAGCCTTCACTGGCGACGCTCAGGAAGGGCCCTATGGACGCCTGCATGCACGGCATGACCAGAGTCAACCGGGGCGACCTTAGTGGCCTTTGGAAAGCCCCTCGGTTGAGAGATCTCACGCTCAGAGCCCCTGAGACCGAACTGCAAGTTTCATGAGCTAGGTTCCTGAGCGGGACCCTTCGGCCCATTTTCTTTTTGGATTCCGCATTAAAGCCAAACAGCAGGAAAAAGGGTACTCTTCTCATTAAGTGGCTACCTGGTGACTGCCTACGCCATAATCTGGGTGTGGGCTTCGATATAGGTCTTTCCCTTTTATCCCTCGCAAGCTGGAAACTCATGCTTGCGTGCAGCACCCTTACGGCGGTTGGGACGGTTAAGACCGAAAGCCTTAAAGCCCTAAAGCTCGACGATTGCTGCCCTAATTCCAAGTATCCTACAGCTCTCAACCATTAAGCTTAAACGCCCTTATAGCAGCCCTTATCTCCACCGATGTAGTGTCCGCTAACGCAACCCGTATAGTACCACAGTAGCACACGCTCAGACGGAGAAAATCATCAAGCTCGGCAGCGAGCTGAACTTCATCGCGGCTGCACTGACACAAGGCAAGAGCGAGGCCTTGAAGAGGAATCTGGGCTGCCTTGAGTCATATCTTTAAAGAAGTTTTTTTGAGGGGTTTGCAAGGTTACTTTGTTTTGATGCCACAAGGGTTGTGTTTGAGATTGTTTGTACATGTTTCTTTTGAGGGTTTCGGATTTGTTTCAATGTTTTGCAAAGGGTTACACGGTCATGTACGTAGATTTTGCTACTGACTGGTTGTGTAAGGATCCGAGCATAGGCGTTTTACAGAGGTTTTGTAGACTCCATTACCCGGTAATCAAGGGACCACATGTTCAAACCTTTCCCCCCCTGTGTAATTCAGGATCTTACCGGGGCATTGGTCTCTCTGGATTGAGCACCCTGAATCACGGCATGTAGTCTTTGATATGGCCAGGAGATAGCTAGGAGATTCCTTCGGTACTTCAAATCCTAGTCCTAGCCTCAGAGCAACCCTAAAGCCTACATCCCGCCAATGCATGTTTGGCATAAGGCGTAAGCAGCAGTCGAAAGTTGTTGGTCAATGTTGCAGACTATTGGTGTTTGTCTGGTTCTTGCTTGTACCAGTGCTCTGTCTGGTGCTCTCGTCATGTGCTCTCTGTGGTTGATGGGGCAACACCATCTCCATCTCCACTGCACTGCTGCAGGGACAGGGCTGAGGCGCCATCCCGACTGGCTTTTCATCCGACTCCGAAACCGTCATTCGCCCCTCCACTTGGAGCTCACACTGGCAGAGTGCATCATTGCCAGAGGCAATGGCAGGAAAGAAGGGCCCTCTGCAGCGCAAAGCAATACATCTGTTGCTCCGGCAATCCGGACAAGCAAAGCATCGGGCGCGCTGGCGCTCCGGCGGCAAAGCATGGCATGGCAAAACGGCAACGCACACTGAGGTTGCACTCCAGCCGCGAAGCTAAAGTCATGGCTTTGTTTCCCCCCCCCCCCCCCTACACCCTTCCCCCCCCTTCAAGCGATACCTCCGAGCGTCTCGTGAGAATCGTTCGGGCTCAATTGGGCGGGGTGGGGTGGGCTGGGGTGGGGAGGAGTGGGGTGGGGGGGGTTGGGCTCTTTGAAAGCCTTTCCAAGACTGTTCAAGGCCTTACCGAGGCCTTACCGAGGCCTTACTAAGGCCTTACTAAGGCCTTGCTGAGGCTGAGGTCTTGCAGAGGCTGGAGCCTGTCTAGAAGCCTAACATCCCTAAGTCGAAAACTCACACAGCTTGGCCGCATCATCTGCGCAAACTAGACAAAAAACAGAGGCCTTACCGAGGTGCTACTGTGACACATGTCTTGCCAAGGCCTTGGCAAGCGCTTGCTAAAGCTTTCCTGGGGGGGGGGGGTGGTCTAGGGGGGGGGGGAAACCAAGCCATGATAAAGGAAAGCGGAGACCAAACTTGCACTCCAGCCGTAAAGCTGAAACAATGCCGGCCCCGCAGTCTACCACTCGTAGTGGACCACAAACGGCCCTCCTCACCCAGCCCTGGATCCTCAGATTCTCGCGCACTCTGGGAGCATCCATGGCCCAATAGCGTCCGTGGCCTAATTCGTTCGGAGTTCAGAGCAATGATAGAAATAGTAATAATAATGATAGTGATGCGATACTAGTAGTAATAGTAATAATAGCAATAGTTGTCACAATTGTCAGCATCCATTGTGCGATCATGGTAAAGTCCATGGTCTAATCGTAGTACTGTCCATGGTCTAATGCGTCTTCACGTCAGTGCATGGACGTCCCAAAACCCACATCCGCTCGGGATGCGATTTTTGCAAAGCAAGCATCCTAGCTCACATGGGTTTCCAATACTAGCCCAGGCCGTTTCGCAGAGTAGCTACCAAACAAGTTCGTGGTTGACCAACATAAACTATAAAGTAGGCTGCGGCAGTCGTCTGGGTGCCCTCTCCAGCCCAAGGACAATGCTTCATGTTCATGATTTCTCGTAAAGGAACCATTCGCGCGCGTTCTGTCTCAGGACCCTTGATTTCGATGGCATGGTGGCTTGCATGCACTGTTTGGAGTTACGCGCTCCAGAGTCTAGCTTCATTGATATTTCATTTATGGGGGGTATGCTTTTCAATCTGCAGGATGTTAGTACTTTCTTAGTATGCAAATATCACAAATCTCGTCAATTCCTTCATCAGATCACATTTTGCAAATCTTGTCGGGACCCCTGACACTTCTGCTTCCTATCATGTCTTCACTTTAATCCCTTTGCTTTGCCGACAGCAACACACAAAACTGCGCCCACCTACAAGTGAAAACCATGGAACTGAAACACCGGTTCAGTGTTTTGGGTTGAAGGTTCGGGGGTTTCGTGAAACTGCCATGGGTATACCAGAGCTGGACCAATGCCAGCATTTCTTACCTTGTGCATGGTATGATGTGCAAGAAGTTGTTGCGTATACGTCTTGACCCGTAGTTGGTGGGGCATGTCCTATTGGTGTTTGAGGCGTTCTGCAGGTTTATAACGACGAGGCTGCTGGTTGAGGGCAAAACGAGGAGGTTGCTGTAAGGGTTCCTTATGAGGTGAAGCAAAGTTTGCTTTCGTAAGAAACCTTAATCCGGGAACAAAGACCCGAAACCCTAAACCCTAAACCTTCTGTAGCGGAGAGGAAAAGGTGCCTATACCCTCAAGCCCAGACGCCAAACGAACCTGCGCAGTTTGTAGCCGCACATGAGTATGCCACAAGTGAAGGCTGTGTGAGAGCCCTAAACCCTAAACTCTGGACCTCTGGACCCTGTGTGCGCTCCGGTACCCTCAACTAAAACTGTAGTCGCCGAGCGAGGCCAATTCAGTTTCCCAGACAGAACATAGTTCGCAAACTCTAAACCGGGTGATTTCTTGAAGCCCCTGAAGCTTATACAGTGAACCCTAAAAGCCTAAAGCCATTCTGAAGCATGTCGGGGTTGCAGGCACCAGTGCCGGCCGTCAAGAGCTTCAATAAGTGCTCCAACGATGCGAATATCGGCTACCTCTTCGTGCACAAGAGCCTCCTTCGAAGGGTTTGGGCTTTTGGGTGGCCAGAGTTCTGACCCTTCCCAGAACCATTATCCCTGAAACCTCCAAAAAAACCTGGACCCTGGATCTTAAAGCATTAAGTTCTCAATCGCAACACCCGCCCCTGAAGACCCTTCAAGCAATGTGTCCACCAAGCTATCACTGTTGAAATTAAATTCGTAAGAACCCGAAAACTCCAGACACCACTTGGAGGTTCATGGGTAGTTATAAGTATATACTGTTATACGCACCCTACTACTTATGACCCCAGTTATAACTACCATGAACCTCCAAGTAGAACCTAAACCCTATACCCTTATAGAATCCCTATAGATCCATGTGAAGGGACCCTTACGGAAGCCGTACAACTACCCATGAACATCCAAGTAGAACCTAAACCCTATACCCTTATAGCCATGTAAAGGGACCCTTACGGAAGCCGTACAACTACCCATGAGAAACCATCAAGCAGAGATCAGTACCGAGGAACTTGTATTGGGCCGGCCACCAGAGCACCATCGACCTAGACACCTTCACGAAATTGAAGGAGCTCACTGTCGGGTTTAGGATTTTAGGGTTTTAGGATTTGGTGTTAAGGGTTTAGGGTTCGGGTTTTCTGTTCAGGCTTCGGGTTTTCTGTTCAGGCTTTCGGGGTTTCGGGTGTAAGTTAGGGTTTCGGGCTGGTCTCGTCAGTCTCCGTAACTACCAGCTGCAGAAACTAGGCTTGAAAGCCTGAGTCCTAAGCCCTAAGCCCTAAGCCCTAAGCCCCGAAGACCAACTGCACCCTGAACCCCAAACCCTAAACACCAAGCCAAAAAACCCTGAACCCTAAATCCTGAACCCTAAACCCCAAACCCTAGAAAAGTCCAACCGCAGGAAAAGAAGGCCAAGGAAAGAATGCAAAAGAAGCAGGCCGCAGAGAAGGCCATGGCCGCGGCTCAGATTGCGGAGGGGCAGAAGGCGGAGGAGCAGAAGGCGGCGGAGGTGCTCTTTGGGGGGTTCTTGGGTGCTTGGGTTCTTGGGTTATTGGGTTATTGGGTTATTGGATTATTGGGCAGGGTTTAGGGTTTAGGGTTATTGGGTTATTGGGTTTGGGGTTTAGGGTTTAGCATCCGGAATAGGTTATGTGCAGCACAACAATTGTTGTAACTACTTGCAAACCCTGCTTTTGGTACACAGATTTGTAAACAACGATTCGGGTCGCACGTCTCGGGTGGATCCAAGAAGGGGGATTGGGCAGGCCAGCCTTCTCTTTAAGCAAAAGTCCATCTTTACGGAAGGAGGGGGGGCGTGGCTAAGAAGGAGGGAAGGCGCTTCCCTGAGAGGAAAGAAGGAATGTCCTGAATTCGGCCGGGGCCACGAAAGGACTGCTTGTAGAGGCCCTTGCACGACCCCTGAACACCAAAGAGGTTTAGTTAGGGTTTTGGGCTTAGGGTTTAGGGTTAAAGGTTTAGGGTTTAGGCTTTAGGGCATGAAACTTTGTAGCTACTGCCTCGACAGAACCCCCAGAGAGCTCCTTGTAGAACCCGAGACTCCTAGACTGTTAAGCCTCATAGCTGCCCATGAGCCCAGAGTCTGTAGAAACGACATTCTCAAGATAGAGCCTGACGTTTTAACTAACCACGAACCGCTAACATTCCCATATAAACCTTATATGAGGCCTTGAGGTAATCGTACTTATGCCCACATGAACTCCGAGAGCGTCCACAGAAACCTCATGACCGGCCCGAAGTTTATCCTACTTACAACCCGCCCATGAACCCTTAAACTCCGCATAGAAACCGTACGAGAAGCCCCGTCTCTGAACCCCAAACCCTAAACCCCAAGCCTGAAACCCCAATATAGAGGCCTAACAAATTACCTATACTATTCTGCACGGGCTCCTAATTATAACTATAGTATCATGGGCCCCAACATCCCTATATTCTAATTCTTAAGGCCCCTACATTACTTGTGAAAACTCCTTCACTGCACTCCAGGCCGCGGGGGAGGGCTCGTCCGCGGAGTTCGAGGATAATCAGGCCGGATGTTTTTCCCAAAACCCTTGATCTGAGTGAGGGGTATTTCCGTACGAAGGAATCTACCTTAAATCACAGATGGATCAGTGCCTTGGGTATTCCTTCGTAGGAGGGCTTTCGGAGCCGCAAAATCCAGTACTCGTGTTACACGGGTCCTTGTGTTAGCACTTTAGGAGCCGAGCATCCTGTTATTGAAGCAAATTCCCTCAGAAAATAGGGGGCCCTAAAACTGTACCCTAAATAGTAAGATCCTTATTATAAGAACCCCAAAATCAGGTATCCCCTATTTTCGGAAACTCCCACATCATACAAGTGCTTCATGATGATAAGGTGTATTCAGTGTAGAATTGTACGGTATTGGGCTCTCTGGATTTGTGGTTTGGGGTATAGAATTTGTAGAATTGGGGTAAGAAGCCCTTGCGGTCCTGCCATGGGATTTGGGGATGCAAGGACTGGGGTGCAGGGTTAAGGGTTTGGGGTTGAAGTGTTAGCGCTTCAGGCTTAGTGGTTGCAATACCCCGATGCTTCGACTGATCGTCCAAGACATCAAGAAGCCTGAAAGCCTTATGCTCATGCTGTATATGTACAAAATACTATATGCTATATGCTAAATTATATTCTGACTGTTCAGGGCAGTTGACGTCCCTTTGAACACGCCCATGTACTCGAGCGTCTTGAATTGGGGCTGAGGGTTTCTATGCCGCTGGTTTTCTTGGGCGGGGGTGGCGTAAGTCGCTGAGCCCTAAAACCGGAATTCGAAAGCTTAAACTGTCAGCCTGTAAGCCCTAAGCCTCTAAATCCTGGAACCTGAACCTAAAGCCCTCAACCCTCAACCGCGAACCCAAAGCTATCAACCCTGAAAGCATTCCAAAAAGCTTTGTTTCAAGACGCCACAGAACCCCAAGCCGTCAGATGCTGTCCTTGGAGGTCACCGCGCGCCGTCTGTCGGAGCCGCAGGTTCTGGTCTGAGTTTTGCCAGTAGCCCGTCTAACTACTCAACTACTCATGAACGTGCAAGTAAAACCTTCAATCCTTAAGGTGCTCAATCCCGCGACTTCAGCCGTTTCCCACCCTTAAGCCGTGACCTCAGAGTTTGAAACGTCAAAATCCCTTTCACGCCCAACCCCGAGACCCTAGCCCCTGTTAGAAAAGCCACATAACAGTTCATCAAGCTCTACAGCGCCCTCGTTTTCAAACGCCGACGCGCTCCGTCGGAATTTCGCCTTTGGGCGCGAAGTGCTCCAAAGGCGCAAGGAGGGCCGAGGACCGAGAGGTCCTGCAAAGGCATCTGGGAGTTTCCGAAACTAGGGGTACCCCCATTTTGGGGCCCTTATGATAAGGATCCTACTATTTACGGTACTATCTTAAGGGTCCCATATTTTCGGAAACTCTCATCTTTCAGGTCTTTCGAGTGCTGGGTCTTTGTTCAAAGGACTGAAGAGGGTTTCTCTTGTAGGCTGAACCTGAACCCTAAAGCCTCCTCAAAGTGGGTTTCTATGAGGATCAGAACCCTTAAAGAGTACTTCAACAACAGCTGTATTCACCAATCAGTATGGTACACACTGTGGGGTCGTAACGCTCCGGGTAAAGAGAACTGGTGGGGTGGCTGCACGGCATGAACGGAGAACGGTTCATGAGGACGCACCTCCCTATGTGACATAGTCAGTACCTGACGGAAAGCGTGTTGGCCGTGTCCTGTTGGTCTCCTGGTTGTCGTGGTCATCCTAGTCCTAGTGGTGGTCCCAGTGGTCGTAGTAGAGAAAGAAAGGTTATTGAGCAAGAACCCAGGAGTGCAGAATCATGCAAGACTGCAACAGAAAGGGCCTTCGCTTCAGCTCAAAGGAAGCTCAAGCAGTTGATCCTTGCTGTAGGAACTGCGCTGAAACCTGCGTGAAGCCATGGCGAAAGCCTTGCTTTCGGCTGCATGCTTCCTCTAAAGCGGGTAGTTATAAGTGGCGTTATAAGTTCCTTAATATGAGTTGTAATCATTGTTACCCTACTTATACCTGCACTTATAACTACCCATGTTTCGGGTTTACGGCCCTGACTCGAAAGGTACGCTAGACATGTTCAGTCCTCATGCGGGTTCTCACTGCTGAAGTGACTAAGATGAGTCTTGCTGTCTCCCTCGTCGTCTCTATCTAGGTTCCTGGGCAGTACTTGCAGGGTCGGGGGACTTAGTAACTGCTTATTTTAGGGACTTATAAGTACCATAACCTCTTTTAGGGTCCCTTTTAGGGTACTTATAAACCTACTTACTACCTACTTACTAAGTCCCCCGACCCTCCAAGTACTCTTTTGCCCTTTTTCTGTTAAGATCCCCTTATTAAGACCGAATAGGAGGAAAAAGGGTGCACATATTATAGTTGGGCTGCTCAGAAACCTAGCTATGATCTCAGTGCAGTAACAGTAGAGTCCTATCAAAATAGCTAGCCCTGAAGCAAACTTCTGCGGACTCGACTCGAATGTAGGAGCCCCAGGACCGGCAAGAAGAACACCCATAGCATAGGAATCCTGTGTTTCTTCATCAGGCTCCTGCAGCATGGCCATGAGTACAGAGACTTTTGCTTGCGCGGCTGCCCGTCAAAGTTGTTTGCTGTATGGGTTCAATGCCAAGCAAGTCTCACACCACATATTTATACATCTGCCGACATAGTTGACCAGTCAGCAGCAGTATCATCATCGCAGCTGCAAGTTTTTTCAAAGCCTAATTGAGCACTTGACAAAGAAAGCCCAATAACCTTTCATTCTACCTTGAGTCGCATAAAGACAGCACCCTACCAACCCCTTCTGCTGAAAGTCATGAACCTAAGCCAACATGAAACCCTGTAGCCATAAACTCCTCACGAGACGCCAGACATTCGCGGGTAGCTTGGAAGGTTTACCCAGGCCCTGTTTGCAGCCATGGCAGCGTCGCCAGAAAGCGCTGACCCCAGACCTGCGCGTGGCCGGCCTCGCCTCACTCGGTTCTTGTGTGAAGGACCTCAGTTAACAATAGTTTCACATGGCTTTGGAAGGACTCTATAGGTCTTTCTTTGAGGGTTCCATATATGTATTGCATCAGATTTTGATGGGGTTAGCAAAGAAAAATGGGGTGCCATGGCAACCTAGGTATCCCGGATAGGGTGTAGAGGGTTTTGTGCTTCTTATGGGCCCGTGAGCCCAAGACCTTTTACCCGTTGCCCTGACTCGAATCATTGTGCATTGAACCAAGGCGCATCCGCCATGGAGGTCCTGCAGAAAGATTACCAGGCATCTGTGGCCGCTGTTTCCGAGAAGGTAAGGTTGATTTTCAGGGCTTTTGGGGTGCGGGGCTCTGAATTCTCAAAAAGTTTGTGTACTTGTTGTTTAAATATAAGAGGTAATAGGGCCCTGTAGAACCCAAATACCCCTATTGAGGACGGGACTCTAATTCATAGAGGAGTTAACATCGCTATCATGGTTATTCTTATCACTATATCCGTGATCACCGCCCCCCCATCATCATCATCATCATCAATGTCATCACCACCTTAATCATCGGCTGCCCGCCTAAGACGGTGACTGCTGTCGTAGGCAATCCAGGCTACCGAAGGAGCTGGGACAAGGACGAAACCAGCCACAACCAAAGAATGCACGCATATCACGAGCCATCGCCTGCAGCATTATTGTAACTGCAGACGACGGGATTGTGGATTCCTTTTAGGGATAGTTATACAAAGATCTCAGTACTGGGTTGGATGCTTCGCAGCCTCCATATGCTTCTGAATCTCCGCTCGAGCAGAGCTTGGAAGACCGTCAAAGGAATGCCACCTTCCGAAATACCTTTTGCAGATGACATCTGCTTTGATGGTTTAAGCGCTCGTGCTTTAGTGGGCTGCTAAATGAATCCAGGCAGTGTCCCACAAGTGGCATTTGGAACTTAAGATAAGGCATCAGCAGGTGCAAATCACCCACAGGGTTTCGTGTTTAGAGACACCGACGTTATCCCCCGATGGCCACGGAACTTAGCCAGGACACCATTATGGAGCTCACGGGCAAGAAGAAGGAGATTGTGGAGCAGCGACCCCAGAACTAATATTGGGGCATTAAGAATTACCTATACTACTTAGGGGGTTCCTCAGTATAGTTCTAGTATAATGGGCCCCGAAACCCTATTCTAGTTATTCAGGCCCCTGTACCAGAGCACAAACCTGACCTTAGGGGGTTCAGGGTCTGAAGAACCCGAATCTCCAAATCTCAAGCTCTATGCCCTAAATCCTATTCCCAGCCCCTGCACCGCAATCCTGCTTGCAGTTTCATGGGTAGGATCATGAGTACCTTAACTTTGTATCTACAGCTATAATTACCCTGCCCCACCGGATCCTTCTTACGATGCCCTGATACTCCAGGTATAAGCCTATGCTGTGCATTCCTGACTCTAGCCCCTAAACCCGAAACCCTAACCCCTAAACTCCCAAATGCCCACACCCAAACCCTAAACCTCTAAACCCTAAACCACGAAATCCCGAAACCCTGTTTCTACAACCGGCAGAGACCTCCCTCTGCTCAGTCCCTTCCGGCTCGAGTACGAGAAGCTCTATAAGGCCGGGGAAGGACTCCGGCTCTTCTCGGCTCTTCTCTTGTCCTGTGTGTTCTCATATGTATTCTCATATATCGTGTTATTTGTTATAATATCTATCTATCTATATATATATATATATAAATAACATAATATATATATATATATATATATATATATAGTACATACTATATTCTTGTCATTTATTATACCATACTACATTGCATCATATGACATGGTGCTATTCTATGCTGTATTCTGTTACGATATAGTGTGTTCTGCTAGTTATGACACACACATTATATATATATATATATACACACACACATATAATACACACACACACACACACATTTATGCTACTCCCCTCATGTGCCCACCGTTCCGTCTGTTTTCAGGAAAAAGCACACCACAGCCCTGATTCAAACGTGTGAGCAATGTGCTTGGGAGGGCGGGGTTCTGTAGATTCTCGATGCAGCTCACACCCCTCTCCCATGACGCGCCGAATTCTGCACATTAGAGCTATGCTTGGCCCCTGTAATATGTAGTTTCCAGTGGGGAGAGGGGGGTATGCTACTCATATCACAACCAACGTGCTTTAGCATTACCATTCACATTGACGTCCTCCACTGCCTGTATTGTCGAGTGTCTGATGTGGTTTTCCTTCTCTTCTGGTGCAATATGAATTGAACGTGATTCTATATGTTTATGCCAAAGATGTGATGCAAATGTCGATGAGGGCATGTTGCTGTCTTTACTGCTGTCACTCTAGCTTGTGTGGCCAGGCTACGCCTGTGTTCTACGAGGTGGACGCAAACATGATAGTCACACCGAATGTTGGGAATGCTCAGAACCCATGCCACATATGCATGGTTGTTGCTATCATATTCGTGGAAAGAGGACTGTCGTAGCCCGGGAGCATAAACATGCTTAAATCAAAACCACGTCACATTTGCATTATTGTTGCTATCACTATTCGCGGAAAGGGGATTGTCGCGGCACGGGAACACAAACATGATTGCATCAGAGTATGCTCTTTTTCGTCATGTATTTCCTTCGGACACCAGTGAATCTGTGTGTGGTGGTGACCCTGCTGCCTAATGCGTCTATTACTTGTACAGAATAAGAGCCGAACACACCGTCAATGACGATGATGTTGGCGCCCATAATCTTTGTTTGTGATTTCTACACTTACGTATCGTACATTAAAATAGAATGCCCTGTTTTATGAAAGCTTATCTTATTACACTATTGAGATATGGCATCGTGATAAATACAAATACATATTCTTATGCGAAGCCAAGACTGTAAAACGAGCAAGTGGTAGGGACATGCCAATCGAGGTGTCAACATCAAGCAAACTATCATCTCTTATAGATGGCACGCGCATCTGACGGCTTTTCGTCATGTTTCAATTGCAAGTACTTGCTCCTTATGTACCACGTAACCACTGCTTAGACCATCTCGGGTTTTGTGACCAACCTTACAAATACTATGTAACGAAGAGTTGTTTGGCATTTAGTACTGACAGACAAGGTCTCTAGGTAAAGAACCGGTATTTCAAGCAAGAACTCGGCGTCATAAGTAAAAATGTAGTTTACTATAGTCTAAGCCTTCGTTTGATGCCTAGTGACTTAGTTGATATTCAAATACCGGTCGTGTAGCTATGCTTACTGACCATTGTTAACAAGCATGAAAAAACGTTTAATAATGTAGTCAGTGTGCAGTGTACATGTGCTTACTTTTTGATGCTCACATAATAGTCAAGCAGCCTGTCAGCAGTGTTAGCTTAACAAGTTGGTAGTTTTCTCACAAGTAACAGTTACGGCGACTTATATGTAGCACATAGTTGGTTAAAGTTCAGTCATATGTAAATGATATTTCATCAGCGTTCCAGTACTACTTCGTTTAATTCCATGAGTATTCTCCGGGCATGTAACCCAGTATTTACTTCATCTCTTATGGACTCCGTTGTCAATGGATACTTCAAGGGCGTTTCGTATTTAGTGCTATCTCATTCCCAGTGAAATAACCTACAGTCAATATCTAAAACTTTAAACAATCGTTGGCATTCTTTCAATATTGATTGATTCAGAACAAAAACTGAGTGAAAGTCAAAAAATGGCAAAGTCCAACAAATTACAGGTTATCCAAACATCAGCTGACCGTTACCTGAATACAGTCTATATTAGCTGAATGTTGATTATACAGTAGGCAAATGTCAACCCAATGTTAATTTTGCTATGAACAGATATTTACTGAATACTAAATGTTGATTAAGTAACATTTGAGTACGATGTATTCATTCTATATCAACTGAACGTTGATGTTACAGTAGGCAAATGTCAACCCAATGTTAACTAGACAACGCTACTATGAATATACATTTTCTTATTAACGTTCAATCAATATATGCTGAGTACGAGGTAGTTGATGAAGTGAAAGATATAAGAACTAATTACAACCAATTTGACATGTTGCACAAATCCAACGTATCGTACTTACTGTCTTACGGCAGCTGTAGTTCGAAATGATCAGCGATTGGATAGGGTTTAAAATGTAGGGTTTTGAAAACCACACCCCTATATACTCTTTTGAGCAACATATTGGACAAAGTCTTGTATAAATCGAAGTCCCCCCGTAATGCACCCTCGTGATGCGCACGAGACCGAGCAACCTGATACCGACCCCGGTGCGCAAGCGGAGCCGCGGGGGAAGCATGCGCAGCCAAAGAAAGCAAGACTCATCGCAAACCCACAAATAAGAACATCCAACATTTTCGCGAAGATGCCAGAACCAATCTTGGATTTTCGGACTTTTTGGAATTTTGGATTTTTAATTTTTTGGATTCTAATGGCAATCGAAAAATCCCAAAATAAAACATTCCAAAAGTCCATAAATCCAAAAATAAAAGATCCAAAATCGGTCCCTACGAAAGAAAGAAAGGGTGAGCACACGGGGGGGTACCATACTTATAGGCATACAGACATACAAAAAAACAAGCAAACAGACATACACCCATACATACATACATCCATACATACCATACATACTGACATACATACGTACATAGTTGATAGTAAAATATGAATGGCTAAGGGCTGGAGATTGCTGTGAAGGATCTCCGGCTTTACAGGGTTTAGGGTTTCGGCTTTGTGTTCGTGGCACTTTGGATTTTGGGCACTTTATGTTTGTTTTGCTTGTTGTTGCAAGGCTTAAGGTTTTTATGTGCAAATTGGCAAGGTTGGTTGCTACAGGGCTTGAACAGTGGTTTGGGGGTTTGGGGTTTCGAGTAGACCTGGACAAGATGTGTCAGGTGTCTCAAGGGGTTTCAGGCATTGAAGTGTAAAGCCCTACACCCTAAACCCTGAACCACGAAAAAGCAACTAAATCGGGGCTTGTTTTTTAGATTGAGGTGCGCTGAGAAAGAGGCTCAAGCGAGGAGTGTTGTTGATGAGGACCTCTTTTACGCGACTCGTTAACCCTAAACCCTGAACCCTAAACCCTAGATCCCAAACTCGGAAACCCTAAACCCTCAGCTTTACGCTCAGCTTCAAACCTTAGACCCTAAATCCCTTAAGTTCAAGTTCCACGACACGGCCAGTCTCTTTGCCTCCCCGCCTAGAGCCGAAGCCTTAAAATTCAAGCCGAAAAAACCCTCACACCCAATCCAGAAGCCCGCATAATTACTCCTATTCTAACTATTCAGGCCACTTTATGACACCTGTGCATCCGAAAATTCAAAAAAAGTGCACCCCGACATCTCGAAATCCCAGGCCGGAAACCCCACACCTCGTTTTTGTACCCGGGAGGCTTTAATGCGCTCGCATGAGGCGGAGAAGCACGGAGCTCAGATGCCTGAACAGCAGGATTCAGGGGTTTAGGTTTTAGGGTTTGTGTACTGCTTGGGGTTCATCCTGTCTGGTTTGGGATGCGGGGTTGCGGGCCCAGGGTTTTGGGGCTGAAGTTTCGGGTTTGCAGCTGCTTGGATGCTACGGCTTCGAACCTTCGGCCTAGGCGCCTGACCAAGAAGATCCGCGATCTGAATGCGGAGATTAGCACCAGTGCAGGGGCCTCTGCAGAAGAAGCACAAAGGGTTTAATATGGGCGGCTAAATTTGTCGAATCCCGACATAGTCTGGGTATTTATTTCGGCCTCAAAAATTACATCAGGGTTTTGGGTTTTGGGTGTCGGGGTTTGGGGTTTAGAGGGTCTTGGGGCTGAGGATGTGGAGTTGGAGGGCTCGGGGTTTTGGGCGACGTGGTAGTGCTGCAGACTTGCACGGGGACCCCACGAAAGTTGTATAAACTAGTACTCTGTCGGTTCCCTCATCTAATTATAGTACAGATCCCCGCGAGAAAAAACACGATTCTAGTGATTACGGCGGCCCATACGACATACGGTTGATGATATGAATCCCCTGCATTTCCGTAATGACTCTAGACTAGACTGTAGGAATTTTCGTATATTCCTGATTATATATCATCAACCGTACTCGTGCGAAAGTCATGGAGCTTGACATGCTTTTGGACTTTGGCTGCTTGGTGGCGGGTGCAAGATTTCAGGTTGTGATTCAGAGTATACAATAGGTGCCTTACACTAGGAATTCAGACGAAAGCATGCTGGCCTGCATGCTGCAACTCGCATTCCCAACAGAGCTTCGCAACCATGCCCGATCATCGCAACCACAGACAGCTTTCAGAGGTGTCCACACATTCAATTTTCGAGCCTCTAGCAACTGTGTTCTTGATGACCGTTGCGGCTCCAGTACTTAGAGCTGGTCATCAGAAATAGGATTGCAAGTACCTGAGCGAGGGCTACACTGGAGCAAATGTATGGGTACTTTCTTAAGCTCCCTATTTGGAAAATTCCCGCGAACTCTGTAAGCCACTCGAACTGTAGGCCTGACCCCGATAAAATTGCAAAGGGACACACTGTACCGAGCCTTGAAAAGAACGCCTACATATATGCAGCCCTATGCTTTAAGCCCTAAACTTCCCGATGAACGGCTCCATTGCGTTTGGTTGCCGGTCTGGGTACGGGGTCCTACTGTTGATGATATAAATCCTGCATTACCCATAGTAAGAAATATGCCATAATTCCAATAGTTCAGGGTCCTTAATTAGGGTAATGCGGGATTTGTATCATCAACAGTAGTGCATGTGAATTCCATGTTCCATGTCAAGAGGGGAGGGTGGGGCGTGGTATGGTTTGACGGAGTTGGGGGTTTGGGGAGGGGATCGTAGGCTTGACCAAGAAGGAACCCAGCCAGCGAAAATATCAATTTTTTTTGAGAAATATCATTGTCAGCGTCAACCCTAAACCCTAAGCCCTAAGCCTTACACCCTAAATCCCTAAACCCCGAAACCCCTAAAACCGTAAACCCTAAACCTCAGCATCACGACGACTGCGAGGCGAAAGGCTGTCCCACGGCCATCTATATGGGAGTTTCCGAAATTTAGGGCTACCTTATTTTTAGGTCCCTATAATAAGGATCCTATTATTTAGGGTACCATATTAGGGTCCCCTATTTTCGGAAACCCCCATATAATGAACTGCTTTCCGGGAGACTGTCGAGGTTACCTCAAGGCGTGGATGCCACTGCGGGAGTAAAGCCTAAGCCCCTAAGCCCCCAAGCTCACTCCGCAGGCCCTGAACCCTAAACCTCGAAACCCCTCAACTCTGAGGCACAAAACGTGCAGAATGCCCTCAGCACCGCGGCGGAGGATCAGAAGCAGATCGAAAGCCTTAGGAGCCGAAGGGGGGGGAAGTTTTTCCTTTTCTAATTATACTTGTCCCTGGGGCGCCTTACAATCCTCAACCTGGTGATGAGGATGCTACTGCTGGATTGGTTGGTTGATAGATGAAAACGGTGATGGTGATGGCGATGATACTGCCTTTGGTTAGAACTCTTCAAAAGACCGATGAGATTTCCATTCATGTGCTAAGGCTTATGGCTCAGGCTGGAAGGCGAGGGGCCTTGACTTAGATATCCATCGCACACCCCTTACTTCTGAGCTTTGGCGGAGGCTTCAGGATCCTCAAGGCCTCAAGCCATGCAGTCCAAAGCCCTAAACCCTAGACTCTAAGCTATTAGACTTTTAAACTAAAGCCCTACAGCCAAACATCTTCAAGCCCAAGCCGCAGCCGAGCGTTTCTCCAGGGATTCACCGACCTAGAAGGCTATACGGAAGCTAACTATCCATCATCTTCGTAGATACTCATAACCCAGACCCCAGTAAGGGTAATGCAGCCACCTGATTAAGAATTCTTGGGTCTTTAGTCGGGTTCTAAGATGAATCCTCACATGATACGTTTATAGGACTAGGGTTTCTAATAGGATTCTTCATTACTTGTAGCTTCTCTCCAACCCTAAATCAAACCCTTTACTTACTAAGCACTTTCTTCGTCCCATGAACCCTCAAGCCCTAAACCCGAAACACATTACTTACGAATCACCTACTAAACCCTTTACATAACCCTAAACCCTAAACCCTATCCAAGTTCCTCCGAGGAAAGCAGTTTCATGAACCCTAAAGCCCTCAACTCTAAACCCTATACCCCTTCCTAAACCCTAAACCCCAAGCCCTCAGCCCTAAACCCTAAGCCCGAAACCCTAAACCCCAAACCCTAAGCCCTAAGCCCTAAACCCTCAACTCTAAACCCTAAACCCCAAACCCCTAAGCCCTAAACCCTAAACTCTAAACCCTAAACCCTTTACTCTAAACCCTAAACCCTCAACTCTGAACCCTAAACCCTTCACGAGCCCCCGATGAAGGCAGGAGATCCAGGCCCGTGAGGAGCAGATCGAGGAGACGAACCGGAAGGAAGAGCAGGCCTTAGGGGGCTTTAGGGGCTCTTGGAGTTTTGTTTTTTTTTTAGGGTTTTGGGCTTTAGGGGCTTTCGGGGTTTTGGGGTTTTAGGGTTTCGGGAGTTTAAAACCAGGGTGTTTGGGGTTTTAGGTTTTTTGCTAGATTAGGTAGGGTTCTTAAGGGTTGTTTTGAGGGGTTGTTAATGCTTCGGGGTTTTGAGCTCAGCAGTTTTGATCATGAATATTGTCATTGAGATAGTTGGCATCGTAGCAGCACTCTTCTTGACCGGAAGGCAAACCCTAAACCGTAAACCCTAAGCTCTAAGCCCTAAACCTTCGTTAAGCCTAGTCATGCGAGTTATGACAAGAATCATGATCGAGGCCTAGACCCCAAACCAGAAGCACCAATAGCCCTTTACCACACTTGTGCAGAAAACAATGCCAATCTGTAAGAACTTTAATTAAAAGCCTGCATAAGACCTAAAGAGTACGCATACGCACCTTCACAGCACGGTGTTGGTACGTTCTGGGTTTGGAGATGTGCTTCGGGCTTCGCGTTGTCAGGTCTTTGGGTTTTCGGGTTTAGGCTGTTGGATGTTCGCTTTGAGGTTAGGGCGTATCAGTCTGGGGCTGGTGCGGGCATTGGCCCGAAGCCAGCTTCTACTTGTAAAATTCAACGCAGGGATCGATAAGAGCTGGTTCGCTCATATTGATTGCATGAGAGCAGGCTCAATGTAATATAAGTATACCAGAAGATACGAAGAGTAGCCTAAGCCCGAAACCCTAAACTCTTCTCATTGTAGCAGGTGAAACGGGTAGCAACTCAACTCCGCCTGCAGGCCAAAGAGACGATCAGCAAGCGGAAAAACGAGATCGATGATATGATCACGAGGCACCGGCCTACTTGTTTCTGGGCTCTGGGTTCAGGGCTTAGGGCTTGTACTTTTGGGTGTCCTTGTTTCGTTTGCCCAAGTATTTACGTTTTTGGTTGCCATAACCGTCAACTGTAACATAGGATTAAGGCAGAGACTAAGACTAAGACCACTCCGAGGCGAGAAGAGTAAGACTGCTCTTCGAGAGACGATGTCTGTCGCGCACTAGTCCGAGTTTTCATGTGAACCTGATAACGACGGCGTCGCTTTGAGCCTGCCACAAGCGTCTTGGTGCAGAGTTACATGACTTCGACACTCAGTACTCAGTGCTTCAGGCGAATTTTTGCGCACCACCAAGCTTCGTACCGCAAATCCCTGTATCGTCCCCATGATATCTATATCATATTCTGGCCCAAAACCATATTCTACATATCAAGGCCCGTGTACTAGTCCAAGACAGGCAGGAGGTGCAAGTTCGGACGAGAATGATTCGGCGGTTGAGTTTTTTGGTTTTAGGGTCGAGGAGTTTAGGCTTTCAAGCCCTTCATACTTGAATGTTTCGGAGCAAAACAGTAACTATTGATTCAAAGACATCAATTCAGTCGTTGGACCTGGCCCGTGAAGGCGTGTCGTCAGGATTATACCTTCCTTTGAAGCCGGGGCTTGTGGCGCCCAGCCTAGACAGGGTTTATAAGGCTCTAAAGCGTTTCACAAGGGTACTTTTGTAGGGGTCCTACTAAGGGTGCTAGTGTTTAGGGTTTCAAGGAAACTGGGGTTTAAGGCCACCTGTCCACATGGCAAGCTTTAAAGCTAAGGAAATTTCCGAAAATTAGGGGTACCTGATTTTGGGTCCTTATAATAAGAATCCTAGGGTAGTAAATTCGGGTCCCCTATTTTCGGAAACTCCCATATTAGTGAGCCGGGTAAGCTACAGATTGGCAACAGCTAGCAAGGCAGCTGCTCTTCCAACTTTGAGCCTTGACTGAAACCTAAAACGCTTAACCCTAAACCCGAAATCGCAAAACCTTAGCCTCAAACTCTAAATCCTAGACCCCAAACCGTAGACCCTGAAACCTAAACCCCCAAACCCTAGACCCTGGACCCTAAACCCCAGGCCCTAAATTAAATAGTTGGTTAAGCTATAATCAAACCAGGCCCCAACCATCGGCTCATCCTAGTACAGGAATTCTAACTGTTCTGCAGTTCGAAAAGGGCAACTAACCCTAAACCCTAAACCCTAAACCCTAAAAAAACAAATCCTGCTGTCCAGGATAGAGCAGGGTGTGGGTATGTCCGAGGAGCAGGAGTTCCAGCCGGGACCTCGCGTTTTGGATGCTGGCTAAGAGTTTACTTTCCTTCTCAAGGGGTCTATAAGGGTTACTATAATTGATCATAAAGGGTACTATAATGTAGGGGCCTTAATAATCCTATATCTTACCTTTGGATAGTAGGAATGGAAGCATGGTAGTAATAGTAGGTATAATTGTACCCCATTCCTCCATTCCCTACCAACCCAAGGTAAGTTCAGAGTTGAGGGCAGTTCAGGGCGCCGGGGTTCGGATTTGATTCAAGCTTTGGGGTTGGGGTTTAGGTTTCGGGTGTAGGGTTTAGGGTTGGGGTTGAGGCTTTGGGATTGAAGGTTTGAGGTGTATGGCGCAGTCGGTGTCATAGTTACTATTCTGACGAATTGTTGTGCTGAGCCGGATCATCGAGTCCAGTCTGGTTTGCAAGTCCGCGTCGACCAAACACTAAACCCAAGACCCTTGAACACGAGTCACTTCAGCTTGCCAGTCCTTCTGTCTGAGAATCACCTAGCCCTTGCAATGTTCGGGCCTGAGCAAGATTTTCTTGCCCCCCACCCCAGCCCTCGTCTGATAAATGCAGAAGCCACTTATGACTTGAAGGAGCGGAATATACTAAATATGACAGCCATAAATCAAGCATTTCAGGTCGTTCGTTTGATATATCAATTGCTTTGTCGGCTGTCTTGGTAAAGCCCTCTGTGTTTGAAATCCTTCGTCATACAGCTCGTGCAGCCTGGTAGTGGGTTTATGATCTAGTTCGAGTGGTTACATGCTTTACGACCTTCTGCGTGTTGCGGCCTCGGGCACTTCAGGTACTGATCCCCACACCAAATACCCCGGTGACGCCGGCCACAAAGCTTTCCGTCCGAAGACATGCTGTGTCCCCTAAACCTTAAACTCGCCAATCGGGACTGTATACTCGTTCCTAATCATTAGCAGCTTATCCCCTTATAGTCCCCATATGCCTTTTGAAACTGTATCTAATCATTAAGGATCTCGTATTCAACAAGAACACGAACCTACTGAAAAGGTCTGGTTTCACCCTTAGAGCCGCTAACAAAGGAACTTGTCCCTTAACGAACCCTTGAAACCCTTTTTTTCAGGAGCCGATTTTAATTACGCCAGCCCCTATAGGACAAGAGCCCTCGAAGCACCATGCATCTGCATCCCCAAGGCTGAACCAGCTAGTTGGTCAGAAGGCGGCGCCTGCTTCATGGGTAGTTCTCCAAGTTAGGATCCCTTCTTGGGTACCCTTATAGAAAGGATGCTAAATGCGACCCAGACTCAGAGAACTACCCTAATTGGGAATCAGGGTTGAAGGTTCATGGGTTGTAGGGTAACTGCACACCGAAGTTGGTGCGTCCTGTGACTTTTTCCTATCCCCGCAATTTCTTGCAGCGACTCTTTTTGAGCAGTTAGTCCGATTATCACTTACACTGCTGCCAATGTGTCACCAATACCACGGTAGTTCGGTTTTGGTATTTGCTCATGATATGGTTTAATCGAACTAGCAGCCTGCCTACCTCACTGTCAAGAATAATGCATTGCCGTCATTAGTACCATAACGAGCAGCAGCAGCACCAGCAGCACCAGCAGCACCAGCAGCACCAGCAGCACCAGCAGCACCAGCAGCACCAGCAGCAGCAGCAGCAGCAGCAGCAGCAGCAGCAGCAGCAGCAGCAGCAGCAGCAGCACCAGCAGCGGCAGTAGCTCTAATCATTGTCATCACTATCAAGATCATTCATCATCGGAGTCCTCATATTAGTTCTCGTGCTCACCCCTATCTTCGTCAACATCAACAACATATTTCAGTCTTGGTTGTCGTCAGCAGCTTCATCTTCATCGGCATCGCCGTCATTGCCATCATCGTCGCCACAAGCAACATGGATATCACCAGCACCACCAGCACAACTAGCACCACCACCGCCATCAAGATCACCCTCATAATCATCATCATTTCCTTTCTGCTTCCTCGCATCACCCGCAATCTGGGACGTATTGGTCTTGCTGTTTCTGTTCAGGCAAGTGTCATCAGTGGCTGGCGTCTTTAGCACCTTATCCCTAAACCCTTGGTCCCAAACCCCAAACCCTAAACCAACGAATCTCGGCTTGGAGGTTGAGCGGCATCAGGGTGTTTTTTTCGGATCTTCAGGCATGCGGGGCCAGAGTAAGGTTTGCTTGTAGCTGCCCCGGGACTGCCCGGGAACCAGACGACGGCGTTAGACTCTATTCGTATGTTTCCTGCCGTAATTTGTGGATGCTTGTCTAGGGCAACTCTATAGCACTTGCGATTCTAGGATTCCGGTTTGAAGTGTTTAGGGTTCTGCTTAGCAGGAACACATGGACAAAGACAAAGAGCTCCTGAAACAGAACACTGAGATGCTGCAGAGGCGCCCTTGTCTTCTTGGCAAAGTCTCTGAAGGATTTAGCAATGTTGGTTCTGTGAATCTAGTCACATCCAGACCCTCAAGTTATGCCCTCCAGCCCCATACATCCAAAACCAAGCCGAAACACCCTAAACCGTAAAGCCCTCAACCCTACACCCTAAAGCCCTAAAGCCTAAAGCCCAAAACCCTAAAGCCTAAAGCCCAAAACCCTAAACCCTAAAGCCCTCAAGCCCCAAACCTGACACACCCCGGCACGGCCCATCCCTGAACCCGATTCCACATCTTGGAACAGGGTTTTGGGATATATTTTACTAGACAGACTTCCATTTACTAAGGCCCCTACAGACCGAGCCCGGAATTCAACACCTCCCAGAGCCCCAAGCCTTAAACCAACCTATCTACACCAGGTTTCAGGGGTTTTGGGGTCGGGGCTTCAGGGTTTTGGGGTTTTGGGGCCAAAATCCTTCTTGATCCTTTGAGTCCTCTGCCGAAGAGTCATCATGTCCCGTTCGGTGCAAAGGAAGGCGGTCATGAAAAAGGAATCCTCAACCCTTAGCCGGAGCCCTTAAACCCTGCAATCCTGAAGCTTAAGCCTCATTCTCGAGCCTGAAACTCAAACCCTAAGCCACGAAGTCTTAACCCTTAGAGGCCTAAAGTCTTTAAACCTTAAGCGGGCTTCAAACCCTCAGCCGAACACCCCTTGAAACAAGATCATCAATCCCCGGCAGCCTCCACGACAAAGCCCCAAGCCCCGAAGCCCCAAACCCGCGACCCTTGCCCGTCAAGCCCTCAGTTGGGGTATCTTCGAGCTCTCCTTGGGAAAGATTGCGTTCTTGTTAGTAGGGAACATGCTGCTCTGCGGTAAAGCGTTACTTTGGTTACCATGGTAGCTAAGCTCAGCTCGTTAAAGGCTGAGGTCTAGGAAGACCTTAAGGAATCTTTTCAACCCCGTACAAAGCCCTACGAAGGAGTCCCAACGCAGCCTTTGAGGTCCTAAACCCTGAACCCCGAGCCCCTAAGCCCTGTACCCTAAACACCTAAACCCCTAAACCCCTAAGCCCCTAAAGCCTACACCCGAAGCCCTAAACCCTTCAACCAAAAAAAGAAACCCTCAACCCTAAAACCCCTCTAAGACCCCTAAACCCTAAACTCTCGATCCGACACCCGAACAAGAAGCCTCCGAAGGATCACGCAGGGCCGTCTGGACGAGGTGGGGCCGAACTGAAGCAGAGTTTCATTTTTCTGGGCTTCAGGGTTTAGGGTTTCGGGCTGAGGTTCTATAAGGTTTCGGAGACTACACCCCGAACCCTAAACTCCACAGACGGAACCCCCAACACCGACACCCTGAAAGCTACAAGAAAACATTGCGCAGTCAATAAACGCTAAAACCGTTTGGAACTTTGGTGTTGTTTTTTCGTTGTGCAGTTGAAGCTGAGTGGTTGGCAACGGTGACAACTATACTGACAGAATGGTTGCAAGTCTTTTCGTGGATGGACGTGAAACCGTCGTGTTAATGGCAATATACGCACAGTGACGACAGTCATGCGGATACTGGTGACAACGATGATGGTGTTGATGATCGTGTGCAGAACTATTCAAGATCCCATTTTTCTTGTCGATGCTGGTGAGGCGCCGGAAGGAAAGCACGATGACAAACCACCACTGGATAAGACAAACATGGGGACAGTAGCGAGGATTGCCGGGTTTCTGACAAGTGCGGATCGAAACTGCATTGCTAGTCATGGTGCCGGTAACAACGAAGTCGACATGCTTGTTTCGGTGGTGCTGATGTTCAAGATTGCAATGATAGCAAAGCTGGCGATTGGTAAGTGGTACTGCTGAACATGCTGGTGATGCTAGCGAGCCTCAACATAGTGATCATGCTGGGCCTTTCTAATGTGCGCGTAGCAGAAGCAAGCATGACCGAGAAAAGAAAGGCAAGCTTGGTGAGGATGATGTGCAGAACGAGGTCGGCAAGGTTGATGCAACAAACAACATTCGATCCAACTGGAAACGTGCGTGGGTCCACGTTGCCGCAACATGGTGCCGCCTTGCCATTCTCATCGTTGTCCGTGGTTTTGTGCATCTCGATGTTTGTCGAACTAAATCACGTTGTGCACGTAGACGTCGCACGGGAACATTGCGTCTGAGTCTCTGCTTCGGTTTTCATCCGGGAAGCTTATTTTCACGACGAAATTTGCGTTTCACTGTAGCAAGGTGGTGGATGTTTGGGATACGCACGACTTTGTTGGCTTTAATGTGTGGGACAAATGCCACTTCGTGCGGGAGGAAGTCGCGAATTTGGCAGAGTGAAAATGACGGAGGGGAAGTTTACAAAGCAGACGAAAAAGACGAGGATGAAGATGAAGAGGATGTTGACGATGGTGGTGACCGTGATGGTCATTGTGCCGATGATGAAGACGGTCGCAGGAGTTGCACTAGCAGTAGTGGCGGCAGTAGTGGTACTAGTAGTAATGATACTAATATTAGTAGCAGCAGCAGGAGTAGTAGTGTAGTAGGAGTAGTAGGAGTAGTAGGAGTAGTAGCAGGAGTAGTAGAAGAAGTAGCAGTAGCAATGGCAGTAGCAGCAGCAGCAGCAGTGGCAGTAGCAGTAGCAATAGAAGTAGCAGTAGCAGTAGCTGTAGCAGTGGTAGCGGTAGTGGTAGCACTAGTAGCACGAGTAGCACTAGTAGCACTAGTAGCACTAGTAGCACTAGTAGCAATAGTACTAGTAGCACTAGTAGTAGTAGTAGTAGTAGTAGTAGTAGTAGTAGTAGTAGTAGTAGTAGTAGTAGTCGTAGTAGTCGTAGTAGTCGTAGTAGTCGTAGTGGTAGTGGTAGTGGTAGTGGTAGTGGTAGTGGTAGTGGTAGTGGTAGTGGTAGTGGTAGTGGTAGTGGTAGTGGTATTGGTAGTGGTAGTGGTAGTAGAAGTAGCAGTAGCAGTAGTAGCAGTAGCAGCGTTGGTGGTAGTGGTTCCGATAACAGCAAGTAGCAGTACCCAGAACCCAGGTCTGTGGTTTGGGTTCGAAAGCCCTGGCTGGATGTCCGTGTGCTCACTCCTGGGCTCTGTCTCTCCCAGGATCGCAGAAAGTCTGAAGGGAGTGGCCCACAACATTCTCACGATACGATTCTGACGATACATCTCAAAAGCTCGTAGAAGGGACAGCAGCCAAGGATTGCCGAGCAATTGCTGACCTGCCAACGTTGGCGCATGTGATCAAAGCTACGGTTCGGGGCATGGATGCTCTGTGAAGTTCTGAGAACAAATGGAGCAAGCACAGCATAGCAGTTCCAGCAGCGACAACTTTTGACAGCTCCGCGTCCCCACCGGAACCGTCACTCAGACTCCTGAACTTGCAAGCAAATACCCTGCGCCGAAACTCAGCGATCCTAAAACCCCCCCCAAAAAAGTCTCAAACCCGATGCCGTAAGACCCAAGAGCCCTGAAACAGTAAACTGAAATTCCAAACCCTACATGCAAAGCCCTTAACCTGGGAGGTTCAGCACCTCGAAAAGGGACTTGGTGAGGCGGAGGTGCTGTGGGGCTCACGAGGGTTTAGGGTTCAGGGTTTTGGGGTTTAGTGGCTTACAGGTCAGGGTTTAGGGTTTACTAGGGTTCAGCGGGTCTTCCGGGTTTGGGCTGGGCTGGGACTGGTGGTTCGGTTACAGAAAAAACCCTCAAGGGTCTAAGGCTTCATGAGCACCCAAAGCTTACGAAACCACGTCGAAAGTGACAGACCCCTGGGCTCTAAACCTGCTTTTATCGACTCTTCGATTTGCCACCCCTAAACCCTAAACCCTAAACCCTAAACCCTAAACCCTAAACCCGAAACAGGGCCCAAGCCATGGCCATAATTGCTTTCACTGCCACAAGGCGCAGATCTTAGTCATGAAGGAGAAGATTGGAGAGAAGCGGGGCGAGGCCCAACGTCTTTGCGTTTAGTCTTCATATCTGTGGGTCGCTGGATTCAGATTCAGGGTTCAGTCGAGGTATATGTCATGATAGTTTGTTGTTACCATCTTTGTCGATTATTGCCATTGCTGGACTCACCGACTATCATTGTTGTAATCGTTACTGTCAACTTTGCTGAACTACCTATAGCTGATATTCCGAGTGCTCCTCTTATCACGTCTGAGTCATGCAGGGTCTCGGTGAGCCCTAAGCAGCTCTACCGTTCTACAGAGAAGATGTGACAGCAAGGCCATTTGGGCTTTCAGCACTGCTTCAGCCAAACACCCAGACCCTAAAGACCAGGCTAAGTTCTATATGGTTGGTTGTCAAAATTAGGGTCCCTTTTTGGGACCTTAATATGATTCGGCACCTGTTATTTAGGGTACCCAAAAACGGACCCCTATTTTGACAGCCACCCATATCCTTTAGAAGCTGCCCCCACCCTGTAATAGTGGTATAATAGGAATATAATAGGGCCCTAATATAATCCTATATAATCCTTATGGTCACTATTACAGGGTGGGGGCAGCTTCTAACATATCCTGCAAAAGCAGGAAGTGTCGGGAATTCGGGTAGAGACCAAAGCAGGGCAGCAATCGAAAGGAGGCAGCGCCCAACCCGTACCGTAGCCCCAAACTTATAGCCCATATTCGGGGACTTATAACCCCACTTATAACTACCTTAACCTACCAAGCCCTACTTTTTTGTAGGTTCTTACTCTAAACCCTACTATGGAATTTAAATGGGGACCCTACTTTTTGTGCATGTTTTGGTAGGTTATGGTAGCCATGAACCACCAACTCGATCTGGACAGGTGGAGGTTGCCAAGCGGCAAAAAGATGAGCTGGAGCAGACGATGAAGGCAACCGCGTGGTGGATTCGTGTGGTCCAGGTTTTGAGGGTCTAAGCTGTGGGCTTAATATACAGGTCGGAATGGTTAGTAATATTTTGTCTTCTTGCAATCCCTCTGGAGTTATACTGCAATCTACCCAAAGCCTTAGCCATTGTCGAACCATTCACGCCCCTGCAGTACAAGTTTCGATTTGATGGAGCTTGGGGCTTGCAGTTGCGAGAGCCCTGAGGTCCTGAAGCTGCATATGGGAGTTTCCGGTACCTTAGTTTGGGGCCCTTATATAATAAGGATCCTACAATTTAGGGTACTAACTTCGGGTCCCCTATTGTCGGAAGCTCCCATATCTCACCCCTCAAGCCTTAGTTACCCTAGGCCATGACATCCTGATGAAAGGACCTCAGGCCCTCGACCAGGAAGCCTAAACCATAATATTCCAGACGATGATGCGCATCCCAAAATCCGCACGGCATTGTAGCGGAATGTCGAGACCAGGACTGCGGCGGAGCGAGATTTACCAAAATCGGGAGAGTCGACAACTGGAATCTGCCCAATTCATTCGGCATCTCGGGTGGACGGGGCCCGTGCGAAAAAGCGGAAAGCACGACACTTTAGTGTGCCATAAACTCCAAAAGCTTGATACCCTTACTGCTAAGCCCTAAACCTAAACTCCCCAAACTTGCAACCCTGAGACCCTCAACCCTAAACCCTAAAGTCCCCAAACTTGCAATCCTAAAACCCTAAACCCTAAATCCTAAACTCCCCAAACTCCCCAAACTTGCAACCCTAAACCGCCAGGACCTGCGGGAGGAGAACGACCAGAAGCAGGAGGAGCTTGCGGCCGCCAGGAGGCGGCCGCCAGCTCTTGGATGCCTTACTTGGAGCTTTATGGGGTAGTTATAAGGGTTCCTTTAAGGGTCCCTTTAACGGGATCTATAGGGATTTATAGAAGGGTATAGGGTTTAGGTTCTATTTGGAGGTTCATGGGTAGTTATAAGCGGCGTTATAAGTAGGGTAGCTATACTTATACCATATTAGGGGACTTATAACTCTACTTATAACTACCCATGAACCTCCAAGTAGAGTCTATTCGGGCGAGGAGGAAGAGGAGGAGAAGCAGCAGCAGCAGGAGGAGGAGTAGTAGTAGTAGTAGGAGCCGCAGCAGGAGCAGCAGAAGTAGCGAGAGCCGGAGGAGGAGCAGGAGCAGGAGCAGTCGCAGTCGCAGTATGCTGCTGCTACAACTACTTCTGCTACTATCACTACTACTACTACTACTACTACTACTGCTACTGCTACTGCTACTGCTACTGCTACTGCTACTGCTACTGCTACTGCTACTGCTACTACTACTACTACTACTACTACTACTACTACTACTACTACTAGTACTACTGCCACTGCTACTGCTTCTGCTAGTGCTACTGCTATGGCTACTGCTATTGTTTCTATTATTTCTACCATTACCACAATTATTACTATTACTTCTATAACAGCTATTACCGCTATTACTATAACTACAATTATGCCTACTATTACTACTATTGTAAACTGCGGTAGTACTATTATTATTATTATTATTATTATTACTACTACGACTACCACTACTACGACGACGAGGACGACGACGACGACGACGACGACGACTACTACTACTACTAGTAACAACAACAACTACTACTACTACTACTACTGCTACTACTACTACTACTACTACGACTACTATTACGACTACTATCACTACTACATGAGGTGTGATGGACATGCCACAGGGTTGGCACGGGAGTCAAATGACATGCAGCCCCAGAGCTTTGGCCCCGCAGCAGAGCAAAGCCTGTACAGGTAAGCCATGGGGTGCGGCGGAAGCTGCACTAGGCGGAATGAAACAGTGTGCCACGTGCCCAAGACATTCCCGGCACCTCCAAAGGACATACTGCCACCAGACGGCGCTACACACCAGCTCTATGTTCAGCAGCTCCACACGTACCTCTTCTATGTCGCGCAGAACCCACAAGCCTTCCAGATGAAGGTTGACCAGCGTCGAGAAAGATTCTTCGGCGACGCCCGGATCGGTTCAGCCAAGTCGCAAGTGCGCGTGCACCCGGTGCTTCACACTGACACCGAGGCCAACTGGCTCTCACTTGGCCCGTGACTGTTGGATCAAGCTTACCGAGGCTGCGCAGCATACTGTGACAGATTGCATGTCGCCAGCTTCACTCTGCCTTGCTTCGTAGGAAGTCGTGTCTGGGTCTGGTCAGCTTTGACCAGCTTTGGCCCAACAGATACCAATGTAGTTTGGTCCACTGGACACCTCAGCAGATGCAAGTAGATGCAAGTGCAGTGTATTGCATGGCCTGAGTGATATAGGGTCTGAAGACTTGAAGACTTAGCAATAACGTGTCATCTCTATGTACTTTTACAAAAACCTAGAGCCCTGTTCGAGATGTCAAGACCCCAATATTCGCCGACCCATTTCGGACCTTTGACGTCCTAACCCTGTCGTGTGTTTCAAGTAGATCTCAGGCAGTGTTGCCTGCAGATGTCTCAAGCCGTGCTTCATCCACGGCCGAGTGCAGAACCATCCCATGGTTGCGCCCCAAATGGGGTAGCCTCCTGGGATTAGCCCGTCCAATTCCTTTCGCAGATGAGGCACATGTGGTTAGAATCGTTAGACACTGAATTGGACTAGGCCTTCGGTGCGTAACGTTATTTCACGTCTGCGGCGGAAGGAGCCCCTTAATTTTTTTCTGAGCAAGGTTTTTTCAGCAGCGCTGAAAAGTGTTGCTTGTCAGCTAGGGTGTTTGGAGAATCTGTAGCTGAGGAATGTCAAATGCTCTCCCAAAACTCTTACGGGTAAACCATTGGTGGTGGTTTGCCGACCGTAGCGAAACCCCAAACCGAGTTTCGGTCTCTCGTGCAGCAAGTCCTCAAAGTGCCGAAGAATGTCAAGAACGATGTTCAATACTCTAAGAGGAGTTTAACATTTCGGGCTTTGTGCAACGAAAGCTAACTAACACAGTTCCCGTTTCTTGATTTTGTGCCAATTGAAGTTATATATGCCACCGTATGAACCGAGAACCCAAGTCGAACCTCCACCGACGCCCTGAACCCGAAGCCATAAACCCGTGAGCCCTAAACCCTAAACCCTCAACCCATGAGCCCTAAACCCTAAACCCATGCGCCGTAAACCCTAAACCCTAAACCCTAAACCCTAGACCCTAAACTCCTTTGAACCCTAAGCCGAAATCCCAAACCCTGATTCCTTACTTCGAGTGCTGAAGCTTGTAAAGCGAAGGTCGTACTACAGGAAAAGCAGGAACCGGAAATACAGGGGCGTCGTAACTACCTTTTCTATTTTGGAGGCTCCTTATTATAATTATGGTATAGTGGGCCCCAAAACCTTATTCTAATTATTAAGGCCCCTATATTATAGTGCCCTTATAGATCCCTTTTAGACCCCTTTAGAGGAACCCTATTAAGGCCTCTGTATTACTCCGCGCCCCAAAGCTTTCAGGAACATCGCCACGGAGCAGACGGAGCTGCGGAAGATCCAACAGGCGCTGGGCTCACAGAGTTTCGGGTTTAGGGGTTTAGGGTTGAGGGTTGAGGGTTTCGGGTTTCGGGTTTAGGGTTTAGGGTTGGGGGTTTAGGGTTTCGGGTTTAGGGTTGAGGGTTGAGGGTTTAGGGTTTAGGGTTTAGGGTTGAGGGTTTAGGGTTTAGGGTTGAGGCTTTCAGAATGGCATTCCTTGAATCCCCTGCTGGACAGGGGCATCCTGCATCCCCTTTCAAGGGCTCTCTATTGTAACGGGGATGGTGCCCAGTCCTTCCTCTACAGTTTGAATGTTGAGGCACCAAGCAGTCAAGGACGTGGAGGCCAAACAAGCCCTGAATCCCCCACCCTACTTGCAGGTTCATGGTAGTTCTACTTGGGGTTGTTAGTTATACGTCTCCAAATATGGGCTTATACTTACAGTTATGTCAATTACTGACAAGCCCACTTAGAGCTGCCCATGAATCGCCAAGTAGACCCCAAACCCTATACCCTTATAGAATCCCTATAGATCCCTGTAAAGGGACCCTTAAAGGAAGCCTTATAACTACCCATGGGCCTCCAAGTAGACCCAAAAACCTACACCCTCAACTTCCAGGCTCCCCTCCGAACTAGGAATTCAAAAGGAGGCCTACTCAGCCGAAGGAAAAGGGGCCCGCACAAAAAAACACCCTAAGCCCTAAACCTTAAGCTTTAAACCCTAAGCCCTTAAACCCTAAACCCTAAACCCTAAACCCTAAACCCTGAACCCTACAGCCGGCGGAAAAAAACATTCAAAAAACATCCTAAACCCCAAACCCAAAACTTTCAACTTTCAGAATGCAATCCAGCCTTGCCTGTGCGAGCGTGTCAGGCGGTGGCCGACACGGAGAAGGAGGAGGAACGACTAGAAAGGCTCACTCCTTAGGGCAATTAGGGCCTTTGGGCTTTAGGGGTTTGGGGTTTGGGGGTTTGGGGTTTAGGGGTTTACTTGGAGGGTCGGGGGACTTAGTCAGTAGGTAGTAAGTAGACTTATAAGTACCCTAAAAGGGACACTTATTGGGGATATGGTACTTATCAGTCCCTAAATTACCCAGTTACTAAGTCCCCCACCCTCCAAGTAGGGTTTAGGGTTGCTGGGTTCATGAGGTCTTGTAGGAATGTCTTGGTTTGTTCGGCTAGTCTTCCCATGGATGCTGATGCAAACTGGGGAGCTTGGAGGGGCACTGGTAGTCTTAAATGGGGTTATAAGCCCCCTAATATCAGTCATATTCACCCTACTTAAAACTTTCAAGTAGGGTGAACATGACTTATATTAGGGGACTTAGAAACCCATTTTAAAACCCCACTTATAACTACCCATGAAGTTCCCAGTACCTTGACATCAAGGCTTCGCGGCTTTCTCTTCTTCTAGCTTAAGCAACAGGGTGGAGGCGAGAATGTGGGCCGAACCCGTGCATCCCTTAACGTCCCGAAGGCGTTTTAGGTTGGCCAGGACTTGGATAGCTTCAGCTCACCTGCCTTATATTGTAGTATACGACACTAATATTATAGAATAGTATATTATATTATAGTATATTGTATTCTATTATATTGTGAAGGCCTGCCACGGCTGTTTCGGAGGAGATCCTGCATTTTACACCCTCGAGCCCTGAACCCGAGAACACAAACTTGCAGAGCGCTTAGTGCTGTCACTGGGGATTCCCAGACTCTTGTACCGTGTTCCCAGCTCCTTAACCAACAACCCTTAAACCCTCAACCCTAAACCCTAAACCCTCAAGCCCAGACCCCAAACACCGTCAGCAGGCGAGTGCACCAGCGCATGGACGAAAAGCGGAAGCTCGAGGAAAAGTTGGAGCAGGCCGTGGCAAACACTTGCGAAACGATGCGAGAGTAGCAGTACGATATAGGCCTAATTTTTTGGTAGGGTTGCTTTAAAGGGGTCCTTTAAAGGGCTACTATAAGGGCTACTAATGACAAGGGATCTATACTAGGGGTCGGGATCCTTAAGGGTTCCTTCAAGGGATCCAGAAGGGATTTGTAAGGGATCGAAAGGGTTTAGGGTTAAGGCTACTGCGACTATAGGGGCCTAAATAAGGAAGGGGGCTAGAATATTAGGAGTAGGGGCCTTAATAACTAGAATAGGGTTCCAGAAAGGGGGTCTTAAGAGCTCCTACAAGGGCTATCATACGGATATAATGTAGGGTCCTAAATCTAGGGCCTTACAAGGGATCCTTGAGGGTTCTTTTAAGGGATCCATAATGGATCTATTGGGTTTAGGGTTTAGGATAGGGGCCGAAATAATTGCCCATGCTACTTGGAGGGTTCCTTATTACAACTCGAGTATCATGGCCCCCAAACCCTGTTCTGATTATCAAGGCCCCTAGAGTAGCAGTAGCCGTGATAATCGGTCGTGGTGGTGGTACGGTGCGGTTGTCGCACTCGTCGTGTGTCATCACGACCGCCATCGCTTCCATCACAATCATGACAGGCATCACCAGCATCACCACCAGTAACACCATCACCATCGTGACCAGTATCGTCATCCTCATCGTTTACCTCGCCATCGTCTTAGTCTTGTTCACCGTTTTCATCCTCATTCTTCTCTGCCTTGCTGAGTATCACCAGCAGCATCAAGTCCACCTCCACCAAGTCAAGACGAAGTCTTTAGGGTGATGTGAGCAGAAAGCCCTACTATAGAGGCCTATATAATTACCTATACCATTTTGGGGGTTCCTTATTATAAGTATAGTATAATCCCCCAAAGCCCTATTGTAATTACTCAGGCCCCTATATTATACCATTTTTTTGGGAGTTCCTTATTATAAGGAAAGTATAAGATACCCCCCCAACACCCTGTTCTAATTGTTAAGGCCCCTAGACTATCCGCAAGAAGTGGAGCCCCAGGAGCTGCAGCCCTACTAGGGATCCTTAAGCGTTCTTTTAAGTAATCCATAAGGGATCTATAGGGTTTAGGGTTAGGATATGGTTAGAATTGTGGTAGTCATCATCACTCTCCGTATTTTTTGGGTGATCAGCATTTTTCTTGTGACTTGCTTTGATTCTTCAGTTATGCAATCATTGCCACCAAGATGACTATCATGATTCTCATGGTGATCCCTTTTGCACCTGAAGGTCTCATGACCGAACGTACGAGCCCGGAAGAACGAACCCCAACAGCCACCGGAGAGGTCTGAAAGTCTCTGTCGTTGCTTTGACGGCTTTGTTGGCGAGCAAATACAGGGGCCTTAATAATTAGAATAGGGTTTTGGGGCCCATTATACTTCAACTATAAAAAGGAACCCCCAAAATAGGATTGGTAATTATTTAGGCCCCAGTAGTATTGTTAGGAGCCTCAACACCAAGCAATATAGGCCGCAATAGTTGGCCTTAGAGCGCCGTGCCAGGAGCAGCACAAGAACCAAAAGTTCGCGCAGGACTCCGGAAACTAATGTGCTCCCAAACCCTCTTCCAATCATTGAGGCCGCCATATGGCATCCAAAGGCGGGTCTCAAGGTAGACTCTATTGACCACGCTTAGTTATTGGATCAGGGACTTGTCCAAGGTTCGGGTGATGTACCTCGAAACCCAGTTTATACCCATATGCGAACCTCCCGAACCCTCAAAACCCCGACGTATCCGAGGCACTTATAATTTATATCTATCCATGAACCTTCATGCAAGACGCTTCGTGCGAGTTTTTTGGAAGCGAACTAACAGCAAACTGCCGTCCGAAGCCAGGCTTCTGAGACCTGGGCTCGTTTTACGAAGGTCCGTAAACCCTAAATCCTACACCCTAAATCCTAGACCCCTAAAGCCTAAACCCCGAGCCTTTTGGGGTCTGTGTTTCCGCTCCCTCCCTTTCATAAGCTTCCAAATCTAAGCCCGAAACCCTAAGCCCAAAAGTGAGCTACAGAAAGATGGAACATGGGTTTGGGATGATGAGTGCTGGGATCCCCCCAAACTTTACCTTGAGGGCATGAGGAAAATGATGTTCCCACTTTCTGGCTTCTATTATAAACGAGCAGATCCACACTACGTGCTTCTCAAGGGGGCATGGTAGAGTTTCATAATGAGGACTGTCACGCATGTGTGTGGTTGAAGCTACGGGCAAACCCCACGCCCGTAAGCACATCTAGAACCTAAGCCCTCAAACCCGAAACCTTAAAGCCTCAGCTCCAAACCGCTCAGGTCCGGCTCCAACTACGGCGTAGGGTTCAGGGTTAACCCTGCGATATCAACATCTTGAGAACTGTTGTTTGACGGATGTTGGGCTCCATGACACCTTCCAGCACCTATCAGAAACGTAGAAGAAGAAGCTCATAATATACTTAATATACAGTTCGTTATCATGCGATGGTAAACCCCGAATAATGACATGACGCGAGTTAGCCGTCGATTTACTGCACACCCAAGAACCATTCCAGGAGCACCGGAGACGCGTCGCACCACAAATACGTGCGGGACTGCGGCGGGAGCGTTGTGTTTGGAGGCGGATACCCGGCTCGCGCATTGGCATCGCAGCAGGGGCAGGATTTCTGGAGGCCCCGAAACTATGCACTGCTGGAGGACGATTGCCAGCTTCCTCACTGTGTGGCCTTGCTAGGACGCGGGTTGTGGCAGGGAGACGATTTCCATCCACCAGATATGCGCGGCACTGTCGCTCCGTCGAGATTTATTACGTTGCGAAGCGCCAGAGCATGGGATTCACCCCGGCGGCTATCGCACGTGTCCATGAGGATCCGACCCCTTTCCACCTAAACTTGCCACACGTTTTGAGGAACAAAGAACAAAGCCTTGCAAAACGCTGGAAGCTTTATTACATAGAAAACCCTGTAAAACCCCCTAAACCCCAAGCCCTAAACCCTGCACCTATAAAGAACTCTGTAAGCACCTGGGTGTCTACAGGAGAGCGAGGAGAAGGAGCGTCTGCTCAAGGGGCGAAGGTCCGCAAACTTCTGCTGGCATTCCGAGCTTCTGTACAAAAAGGGGCCTTAATGATTAGAACAGGGGTTCCTTTAAAGGGATCCCTAAAGGGTTCTATAAGGGATCTATAATAGGATTCTAAATTGGGTGCCTTAATGATGAGGAAAGGGTTTTGGGGGCCCATTACTATAAATGTAATACGGAACCCCCCAACATAGTACAGGTAGTTATGAAGGCCCCTACATTAGGATTTGGCCGAGTTAGGGGGGGTTCAGGCTTTAGGCTTTAGAGGTGTGGTTTAGGGTTTCCGTCCCTTTTTTGCCCAGGGAGGTCAATGTACCTTATACTCAAGTTCATTGGATTTACGAGTTTTTGGAGTTTTGGCAGGTCCTTCGAGAGGTTTATAAGGTGTGAGAGCGGCATGCGGTACAGTACGAGTCTAGACTCAGATTCAGGCTTTTGGGATTTCGAGTTTGGGATACAGCGTTCAATGATGCAGAGCTTAATGTTGTTAAACCCTCAAGGCCAAACCCGGCCAATTGCCTAAGAGGGGCGCTATCACCTCTCAAAATAGCCCTACAATTTTAAAACCTGAAAAACCGAAACCCAACCCAACCCGAAGCCCTGAACCTTGAACCCCAAGCCGCAAACTAGGGACGAACTGCAGCGGACCAAGAAAGAGAAGGAGAAGGTGATCCGAGCTTACGAGGCACCCGCGAGAAGGATTTGGGCGGGTTTGGGTGTAGAGGTTCAGGAATAATGGTCTGGGAGAACAGGCTCTGGCAATGCTGTCACCCCTTCCTTTGAATATTTAGAAATACTATCACCTTATCGTCCTTCCAGAAGTTTTTTTTTATAATGTAACCCCAAGCCATCCCATGTCTATTCCCATCATTGAGGCCCTCACAGTACACCCCGTAACACCCTACGGAAATCCCATGGAGCCCTTTTGCAGTAACCCCGAAGCCAGGTCTTGAAGAAGAAGGACAAAGCAACTGAGGAGGAGCGCCAGACGAACGAGAGCCCGGCTGCCCAAGTGGCTGCAAGGGTGGCTTCCTTCGTGGGCTGGGTGTGTGTGTGTGTGTGTGTGTGTGGTTACTTGGAGGTTCACAGGTAGGTGTAAGTGGGTTAAAAGTCCCTAATATGACTTATAAGTATAGTTACCCTACTTATATCCCCACTCAGGGTTCGAGGGCGCACAAGAATGTGTAATTAAGAACAAACAAGTATGTATGTGTATGTACATGTACATGTAAAGGTACATGTGCATGTGGATGCATATGTATATGTATACGTATACGTACACATAAATGTATATGTATCTGTATATGTAGATGTAGGTGTTTTTATGTCTATGTAAGCGAATATATGCGTGTCCATGTGCCTGTATCCGTATGTGCATATAGATATATGTATGTTTGTGCATATGTGTGTGTGTGTGTGCAAGTGCAGCAACTTGTCCTCCCCTGCACACATATAAACATACGAAATACATGTGGTTATATATAAATAGATATACATCTATACAAACACAGATGCTTCCTTACGCATACATATATATACACCCATATACACCTATGTACATACATATATATATGTATATGTATGTACATACGCATATATTTAAACTTCAATACTCATATGCATGGTCAGACATATTGTTATTTAAAGATCAAATATGTATGTATATACCTGTATGTATGTATGTATGTATGTATGTATGTATATATGTATATATATATATATAGATAGATAGAGGTAGATGGAGTGTCATTCTGGATCTTCCACATGCCATGCAACTGCACAGGCCAAAGCACCAGCACATGCGCGCACGCACAGAAAACACATGCACACCCATAGATGCATATACGTAAGCATATGCACATACGCACAGATATGTTCATATCCAAACATGCATATACATACACGGCTTACACATACACACATACAAACACGCACCCACACATAGATACGTGCGTACATATAGACACACACACACATATACACATGCATACGTACATGTTATACACATACACACACATACGTATTCATACAAAGGACATACACGTACATACACACGCACACATACACATACACACACATGCATACATACACATACATACACATACATACACATACATACTTTCATACTTCCAGAGACAGAGATACACAGACATACCCCGACATTCAAAGAGATACACATACGTATACATTTACATACAGATACAGATATACATATACATATACATGTACATATACATATACATGTACATATACATATACATGTACACGTACATGTACATATACATATACATATACGTACGTATGCATACACCCGTCCTACATCCACATACATACACACCGTGACATACACATATGTCTACATATGCATATGTGTATGCATACACATATAACCATCCATACCTACACCGAAACATGCACATATGTATATGTAGACATTCATACACCCCTATGAACCCAAACAGCCTTAAAAGCCACCATCATCCCTCAACCCTTGCAGTTAGTTGGCTGCTTTGAACAGCAGCCGGAGGACAGCGCAGCAAAGCCGTCACCATTTAGGGTGTATCGCAGTTAGGGCTCGCTGTCATGGGGATCTCTTAATTTGGGATCGCACAGGTCTCTTACGTCTTACGTCTTGAGACTCCGTCGGTTTATGGGTACTGCCAGCGACTTTTTATTGCAGCTTGCTGGACTACGATAGGTTGAAGGGCTTATACGGGCACTCTGTTTCTTGACAAGCCCATCTGTGAAGGGCCGGCTTCTATTCTTGTAGACCATTCAGGTGTCGGAGTTTGAGGGCTAATGTAGGTTCCTTACATGAATCCTACTATTTTGGGGTTATAAAACCAGGGTTTCTTCATCAGGTTCCTACATGAGGGTTTCTTTCGGGGCTCGGTCCTGCTTCGATTCCACGAACAGCCTCTGCGAAACAGGTCTCTCAACTTCAAACCCTCAAGCTCAAAAAAAGCCGAAACCCCAACCCCGCATTGGAGCCTGATTGAAAAAAGACATCCCCTGTCTCAAGGAGGGTCAAAATAGCTAGGAGTTTTGTTTGCGCAGAGATGCTAGCTAAAGCCTGGTTCTTCAATTCCAGACCAATAAACCCCAAACCCTGAACCTTGAATCCTAAACCTTAAACCCTAACCCTAGACCCTTGAAACCTGAACCCTAAATCCTAAACCCTGAAGCCTCGTCGCCGGGTTTTGGCCTCCCACACCAGTGGGTTCTGCCGACCTAGCCTTAACTGCTAGACGGAGAAAGGGTGCTCAAAAACAAGAACCCTCGCCTCAACCCTACTGTCCCGAAACCCTTCAACCCTACACCCTGGTGGGCCCTGATCCGCTCTACTTCGAGGTTGATGGGTACTGATAAGTGAGGATATAATTTCTCTAATACCGGTTGTAGATACTTGGAGGGTCGGGGGACTTAGTAAGTAGGTAGTAAGTAGACTTATAAGTACCCTACAAGGGACCTTAATTGGGGTTAGGATACTTATAAGTCTACAAAATAACTGGTTACCAAGTCCCCCGACCCTCCAAGTACAGCTATCTTACATATACAGTAAGCCCACAACGACCCGACGATACCTCCCAGGCAAGCGCAATGAGCTCAAATCAGACGTGAAGAACCACCAGGCTCTAAGATTTTGCGCTTATGGTTCAGGGTTTGGGCTTCAATGTCTTAGGTTTGCAGAGTTTTGGGTTTTGGCCCTGCGCATGAGGGTCTTTGGAGCTTTCACAGCTGAGTTTCGGGCGTGGTCTGTTCGGTGGGTTTCGGGGTGATTTCTGCTTGCTTTCGAGTTTTACTCTTCGAGCTGACTGCTGCCATTGCGGCTCCCTTCGCTACTTCTTCATGCTGCTGCTGCTGCTGCTGCTGCTACCAGCACGATATCCACTGCTGCTGCTCTTGTCATTGTCGCCAGGCCCTGTTGTTTGCACTAGTATCGCTGCAGCAAGAGACTACGCGGACATTTGGGCATGAACCATCTCGGCTGGTTTCGGACCCCGACTTTTGAGCCTCAGGTTTCAACTCCCACCCGGCTGAACTTGACTTCTCCGGGCCGAAGAAGTAGAAATGTACTTCCCTGGGAAGTCTATAAGACCCTGGCCCTCGGCGCTAAACCCCTAAACCCCCAAATCCTAAACCCTAAACCCCAATCCCCAAGACTCCAAAACCCTAAACCCTAAACCCCAAAACCCCAAAACCCCGAAACCCTAAACCCTAAGCCCCAAAACCCCAAAACCCTAAACCCTAAGCCCCAAAACCCCAAGGCCTCAAAGACGAAGCCGATTTCCAACTTCCGCCCCCGCCTGCGCCAGGAGAAGTCGGAGGTCCTGAAGCGGGATGCCGACGTCGACAGGAAGAAGATTGAGGATCCTCTCCTCTCTCATGGGGCTCCTTTAAGGGAGCTTTAAGGAATCTTTAAGGGATCTTTAAGGGTACTGTAAGGATACTATTAGCTTTAAGGGAGCTTTAAGGAATCTTTAAGGGATCTTTAAGGGTACTGCAAGGGTAATATTTAGGGTGTAGGGTCTAGGGAGGATACTCCCCGCTCTCATCTTTTCTAGCAGGGAAACAAGAAGCACCCGGGTTCTTGTGGGATTTTGGGCTTGGGATTTTGAGGATGTATTCCTTGGACTGCTTCGGAGGTTCTATCAGCTCCAAGAAACCCAAAAGTGCGAAATGCGGTGGTGCTAAGCTCTAAACCCTAAACCCAAAACCCCCTAAACCCCCAACCCCCTGAAACCCCAAACCCCTTAACCCTAAACCCCCTAAACCCCCAACCCCCTAAACCCCCTGAACACCCTAAACTAAGCACCAAGCCGACAAACGCCTGAGACCCCTCAGCCCTCATGTCTCCGAACCTTGCAGCCGTCAACCTGACAGCCCAACCTTGAACCCCTAAAGCCCTCAATTCCAACCCCTGCTCCGACGTACAGGACCTCCTACGGGAAAGAGACATCCTGAACAAGAATGTCGTCAAGGTGGCTGTTGTAAGTGTGGATGGTTCTGTTATCATCGTCAGCTTTTGATATCGTCATGGTATGCTTTCACGTTTCTGCTGAGTACTGCTGTGTATGCTGTTCGATGTTGAGTCTACCTGAGACGTCGTGGTTCTTAGGAGCAGTAGCAGCAGCAGTAGTAGTAGTCGCAGCAGCAGCAGGAGGAGCAGGAGGAGGAGGAGTAGTAGTAGTAGTAGTACTAGTAGCAATGGGGGGATCGGTTGTCATGCATTTCATGGAAACAGTGATGCACAAGGCACAAGAGGGGTATGATGATTATGGCTGTTTGAGATGACGATGACACTGGTCATGATAATATGGTCAATGGCTGCAGTCCTCATGACGAGAATAGCCTCGATAACACGCTTGAGCTTTGGTGTAGTACCTTCGAATGCTGGAAGGCTGACGACAGAAGTGCTTGAATGCTTTAGACTGCCTTCTAGGGTTCTTGGGCGTCTAGCCAACAGTTGCTTACGTGGTGATGCGTTTGGATCGAGACGAGAATCCCCCTAAGCCAATTGATAAAACACCTTTGGAACCTTCGTAAAAACCCCATAGAGCCACTAAACCCTTTAGAACCCCTGTCACAGCGTCTATACACTGAACCTTAAACCCTAAACCCTCACCCGATTTCGGGAATTGGGCCTGGGGCTTTGGTTCTTGATGTGTTGAAGGCTGCTCGGAGACGCGGCCCGGGAGTCCGGTGTGGTGAAATTGAGCCGTTGAGCCTAAACCCAAGGCAGACAAGCACAAGCCCCCTAGACTACTATAAGGGGTTCTGAAGGGACTACTATAAGGGGTCATATAAGGACTACTATAAATACTATAAGGGATGATAAAGGGCCCTCAACCGTACTTTCCGAACCCGTACACCCTAAGTCCTCAGCCCTTGAGCCTTGAACCCCTCAAACCCTGGCTTTGAAAATCCCGAAGCCCTACTTCCCAGACCTCCGAGCTGCCTGGAAGCTGAGAATATTTTTAAATAGACTATCATCTGCCTTGAGCTGCCGTACTGGAATCGACATGTAGAGGCCTGGAAGATTGGCAATCCTATTCCTCAGGACTCCATCTTCTTCTTCTTCTGCTTGTTGTTATGGGCGTTTTATATACCACTGAGCCACGTTCGTTAGAGGCGTTTTATATGCCACCAAGCCACGTTCTTATTGTCAAGGCTCCTGTATTACGAGCAAGATCCCGGACACATGTCCCTAAATCCTAGATCTTAAATGTCTAAGCCCAGGGCCTCCACATATCTGGCGCTTCCTTGTTCCTTATTATAATTATAGTATAATGGGCCCCTAAACCCCATTCTAAGTATTGAGGCCCCTATGCTAAACCCTTGTAGACCCTTTATAAGAACCCTTCGAAGGAACCCTGTTCTGATGATTAAGGCTCCTATGTGAGCCTTGCAGTCGTAGGGCCCCACCATAAGAGGCTGACGAGCGCACCAAGAAGCAGATCGACTTAGTCAAGCGCCAGGTTGCCGGAGTGTGGGTTGCTGTTGCCAGTCTTAGTACTTTAAGGGTTTAGGCTCTAGGGTTCAGTTCTGTTATTTCTTCATTTGATCAGTTGTTCACACGTTCATACATTCATGGTTATCACTGCCCCTACTGTTGCTACAAGGTATCATTATCAATACGAACAAGAAGTATTCTCATGACAGTTACTGGTAGATTATGAACAATGTATCGTCATCATTCTTGTTCTGAAGGGATGGTCAGGTCATCACAGCCCCAAGCTTTCGAGGTATCGAATCATGCAGTTTGGGGCTAAGAGCATATATTCAGACAGCTGCACAAGCATTGCCCCCAGACCCCTCAAGGCAAATCCCGAAATGGCAACACATGAGCCCTAGAGCCCAAAGCCTCAATCCCGAACCTTGATACCCTAAACCCTAAACCACCAACCCTGAACCGTAAACCTTGAACCCCAAACCTTGAACCCTAAAGCCCGAAACCCGCAACCCCGAATCCTGCAACCCTGAACCCCGAACCCTGAGCTCGAAGCTTTGGTATTCTCATAGGAGGCCAAAAGGGGTTTTAGCCTGTTGGGGGTTTAGTAGGGATTGGGGTTCCCATAATAGGCTTCATATTAAGGAATCCCTACCCTAAGAATCTTAAGCCTTTTTTTTTTTTTTTAAGAATCTTAAACCTTTTTTTTGGCCTCCCATCATATTCAAAGATCACAGGGAGCCCACCATCTCAAGCCCAAGGCGCCCCGAAGCCCAGCATCCGGCCCTCTGTCCCCCGATGCCCAAGCCCAATACTGGTAGTTTGATCAGTATGGGGTTCCTTGAAGGATTCCTTATTTGTGAGGCTTCTATAAGTCTTATAGGGTGTCGTATAGGAGCCGTTTTTTCGAAGAGGGTTTTCGGGGTATACTATAGTAATTCGACTGCTAATATCCGAAGGAACGCAATCCAAAGTAACATTCACGCCTATATCGCAAACTCTCTCACAGGAGACCCAGGCGATGAATATGCAGAAGGACATCACTCGATGGAAGCAGGCCCATGGGGCTTGTGGTTTAGGCATTAATGATCTAGAGATCAAGGCCCTGAACCCTAAACGCCAAACCGTAAACCCTAAGCCTTAAACCCTAGCCCAGTCTAAGTTTTCGGTACCACACTGCGTGTTTTACACTTTTCCAGTTTCTCAGGTCATATTTATAGTTACCGTACTTGTAAACCCACATATGACTACCCATGAACCTCCAAGTGCTCTGTTGTCTCATCCTTAGCAACCTTGGGTCGCATCAGCATGAACATGGTAAGATTTCCATGAACATGGAAACTCTAAACAGAACAGTTTTCAACGTGGCCAGTAATTCATTTATTCCTTGTATCGAGCCTCTCGTAGCACACACGCACAACACACACAAAGTTATAATGCTATACCGAGTAATATCGTAGAATAGTATAGTTCACTGCACGATGCTTTTCTGTACAATGCAATGCTGCAAAAGCCTGTGATGTAGTTAGAATCGTGCACTATGACAAGCTGTACTTTATATACTATCCACCATATACTGTTTCCGATATACCATATATCATGTTGACTATATACTGTCCACTGTTCACTGTATACCATGTACCATACCCGATATTATTAGATCGTCGCAGGATGCTCAAGACTTCCAGAAGCGCATCATGGAGCTTGAGAAGCAGCGAGAGAAGTACGGCATCGAGCTCTCCCAGGCACCCCCCCCGCAAAGGACTGCTTAATGTTTGGAATAGGGTTTCGGGCTACTTTGCAGATAGCTATATGAAGGACAAAACGGGGAATACTATTGGCAATCATTTCCGCTGCCTACATTAGCTACGTCCGGCGGGTGCGAGCAGTGAGTGCCTCGGGGTGGGGCTTGTGGCGTTTGGGATCATCGTGTCGGGCTTGAGATGGGGGGTTTAAGGTTCTGTGGAGTTTGTTTTGTGATTCGGGTTTAGGGTTTAGGATTAATCAAGATGGCCCCAAGGTGATGGGATGTTTGATTAGGTCTTGCCTGCAACGGGTCTCAACTCATGAGTACTTATAAGTAGGGTTATGAGTCCTTTAATGTGGGTAGTAAGCATAGATACCCTACTTATAACCCCACGTATAACTACATATGAACCTCCAAGTACAGAATGCTGAAAGCTGCGGCAACTGCCAGACGGAGAAGAGACCTCCTTTTGGGGGGGGGGGGGGGGACCCTTGGCCCTAATGCCCGGCCCTGCACTCTCGGCCCTTAAGAGCCCTCTGCCCTGAGCTTTAACACCGATACCGGAACAAGACCGTGATCCACAAAGCCGGATCTTCGACGACCAAAAGTCACTCTCAGGCGAATGCCAAGTACTTCGCTTGCAAGGAGGAGTTGAAGAATCGTTGCGTACTCAGCCTCTGCTGGCGAGTGCCCTGTCGACTTTTGCAAGGCTTCCGGGTTGCGGGTTCCCTTCGACTAGACAAGCTTCGCATCGAAGTATGCTCTGAAGAGAGGAAACCCCAAACCAGAAACTCCTAAGCCCCAAACTTCTAAAGCCTTGGCGTCTCAAGCCCTAAACACCCGAAGCCCTGAAAGCCCTAGAGCCTGGGCCATCGGAAAGTCTTCAGCTTGGGAGAGCTGCAAGCAGCTCTTGAGCAGCAAAGCTCTTAGACATCACCTCGACAAGCCATGAGAGCCAATCTCGAAGGCGGGGATTTTGATGAGGAAGTTGGTTTCTTGCTGTTTTGAGCAAGCAGGGGTTTCGCAAGTTTTCGAAGGGGTTTTCAGATACCAATAGTAGGTACGCAGTTAAAAAGCCCATGCTGTGGTGGTAATCCAGCTCCACAACAAGAACTCGCAAAGGCACAGATGCTCGGTCTTGCAGAATTTAGAACAGCTCGCTGCTCTCCACGTGCCCTTCCCTCGCTTCTTGCTCGTCTCCGCTATGGCGTGCCCGAAGCACCTCGAGCAAAGCATCGCGACGTCCTTGCGACAGCATCTGAACGTTGGCAAGGACCGACCCCAAACCCACAGCCCTGAGCCCTCAACCCCAAATCCTAAAACTTGTATGTAAACCCCGAAAAGGGAGGGGGCGAAGGTAGACTGCCGGAGTCCTTGCCTGTCTTTGCGCATGAGTCCCGGTGCTTGGTGGCTCTTGGAGTCAAACCCATGCAGGACAGTGCGACGACAAACGAGCTCCAGAATGCCTTCGAGCTAAGCCAGGAGTTCAGCCGTACCAAGCTCCTGGGCAATGTGGAGATTTCAGCTTTGGAGATAGGCGGTTTTCGCTTCAGGATGTCGGGAGTCTCAGGGTCCGCGGCCACAGCAGTGAAGTGCATCTGCCAGTGAAGTAGGTTGCAAAATCTATGTCCGTCGATATTGCTGCGGCTCATAGATGAGTAATTACAGATATAATATCACATATCTACCTATAATTGTATCTGTCTATCTGTGTCTCGGTCTCTGTATCTCTATCTCTCTGTCTCTCATTATCTCTCTATATCTCTCTCTACTCTACATCTCTCTGCATCTCTATATCTCTCTATATCTCTATCTCTCTCTGTCTCTCCCCGTCTCTCTTTACCCCTGTATCTATATCTATGTCTATGTCCGTGTTTGAACCTATATCTGTATCTGTATATGTGTATATACATCTCTCTCTCTCTCTATATATATATATATATACGTATATACCATATATCATATACATACACGTATACACATACACAATGATGTGTTTGTATTCTTGAACGTTCAAGCTTGCTGTGATAACGCACCCCTACACTACACTAGTTTCAGCCCGAAACCGGCAGTCAATCCGCAACTCTGTCCTTGAACCTGCTACCCCTGCCGCCGGACCCCAAACCGTAAAACCCTGACCCCTACATGGGAGGTTCCGAAATTTAGGCGTACCTTACCTCAGTTGGGGATCCTTATAACAAGGATCCCACTGTTTCGAGTGCTATATTAGGGTCCCCTATGTTCGGAAACCCCTAAACCCTAAACCGTCAAAAAAAAAAACAAAAAAAAAAAAACCGTCAAAAAGGTTCGACATCCTGGATCAAGCATCGGACCTGGGACTGGAGGCCGGGGCAAGGGGTTGAGGCCGAGGCAGGGAAATTCGGGTGTAGGGTGTAGGGTGTAGGGTTTAGGGTTCAGGGTGTAGGGTTTAGGGTTTAGGGTGTAGGGTTTAGGGTGTAGGGTTTAGGGTTTAGGGTTCAGGGTGTAGGGTTTAGGGTTTAGGGTTTAGGGTTTAGGGTTTAGGGTTTAGGGTTCAGGGTGTAGGGTTTAGGGTTTAGGGTGTGGCAGGCGAAGTCGCGCGCTCGGGTGTGTAGCACCCCGGGCCGCGCGCTCGCGTTGCTTGTAAACCCACCCCGGCCACCCAAACTATACTCTATTAGGGTTTAGGGTTTCTACCCCCCAACCCCCCTATCAAGGGTGGCTTTTATATTTTTGCACCCATGAACGTTCCAGTTGTTGAAGTTGTGGTTTAGGCAACGGCTGGGAGTAGCCTCGGCCCTTGTCGGGCCTTCGGCATGGCAGGGCCTGCTCGGCCCTTCAAGCTTATCGTTTGACAGCTTTGGAAAATCTAGATTTTAGAGCTGGTTCCTTAAATCCTAAATCCTAAACCCGAAATCCTAAATCCTAAATCCTGAATCCTAAATCCTAAATCCTAAACCCTAAATCCTAAATCCTAAATCCTAAACCCTAAATCCTAAATCCTAAATCCTAAATCTAGATTTTAAAGCCGGTTGTCTTTTTTCGAAAAGGACAAGCGCGACTAAATATTGAAATCCGGAAGCTTAAGAGCAGCCACACGAAAAGAATTGAGGTGACCTCGAGATTCGCAACCGGCCTTCTCTAAAAGGCACATTTTATGAACAGAATTTGTCACTTGAAAATCACCAGCAAAAATCCAAATTTCCGGAGGCTAACTCCTAAATCCAAAATCCTAAACCCTAAATCCTAAATCCTAAATCCTAAACCCTAAATCTTAAATCCTAAATCCTAAATTTTGGAGCTGGTTGTCCTTTTCCGAAAAGGACAAGCGCGACTAAATATTGAAATCCGGAAGCTTAAGAGCAGCCACACGAAAAGAAAGGAGGGGACCTCGAGATTCGCAACCGGCCTTCTCTAAAAGGCACATTTTATGAACAGAATTTGTCACTTGAAAATCACCAGCAAAAATCCAAATTTCCGGAGGCTAAATCCTGAATCCTAAATCCTAACCCCCAAAATCCTAAATCCTAAATCCTAAATCCTAAACCCTAAATCCTAAATCCTAAATCCTAAATCCTAAATCCTAAATCCTAAAACCTAAATCCTAACTCCAAAATCCTAAATCCTAAATCCTAAATCCTAAATCCTAAATCATAAACTAAATCCTAAATCCTAAACCCTAAATCCTAAATCCTAAATCCTAAATCCTAAACCTTAAAACCTAAATCCTAAATCCTAAATCCTAGACTAAATATTGAAATCCGGAAGCTTAAGAGCAGCCACAAGAAAAGAAAGGAGGGGACCTCGAGATTCGCAACCGGCCTTCTCTAAAAGGCACATTTTATGAACAGAATTTGTCACTTGAAAATCACCAGCAAAAATCCAAATTTCCGGAGGCTAAAAATCCTAAATCCTAAACCCTAAATCCTAATCCTAAATCCTAAACCCTAAATCCTAAATCCTAAATTTTAGAGCTGGTTGTCCTTTTCCGAAAAGGACAAGCGCGACTAAATATTGAAATCCGGAAGCTTAAGAGCAGCCACACGAAAAGAAAGGAGGGGACCTCGAGATTCGCAACCGGCCTTCTCTAAAAGGCACATTTTATGAACAGAATTTGTCACTTGAAAATCACCAGCAAAAATCCAAATTTCCGGAGGCTAAATCCTGAATCCTAAATCCTAACCCCCAAAATCCTAAATCCTAAATCCTAAACCTAAACCCTAAATCCTAAATCCTAAATCCTAAATCCTAAATCCTAAAACCTAAATCCTAACTCCAAAATCCTAAATCCTAAATCCTAAATCCTAAATCATAAACTAAATCCTAAATCCTAAACCCTAAATCCTAAATCCTAAATCCTAAACCTTAAAACCTAAATCCTAAATCCTAAATCCTAGACTAAATATTGAAATCCGGAAGCTTAAGAGCAGCCACAAGAAAAGAAAGGAGGGGACCTCGAGATTCGCAACCGGCCTTCTCTAAAAGGCACATTTTATGAACAGAATTTGTCACTTGAAAATCACCAGCAAAAATCCAAATTTCCGGAGGTTAAATCCTAAATCCTAAATCCTAAACCCTAAATCCTAAATCTTAAATCCTGAATCCTAAATCCTAAATCCTAAACCTTAAATCTTAAATCCTAAATCCTAAATCCTAAACCCTCAATCCTGAATCCTAAATCCTAGACCCCAAATCCTAAATCCTAAACCCTGAATCCTAAATCCTAAAGCCTAAATCCTAAATCCTAAATCCTAAACCCTAAAGCTTAAATCCTAAATCCTAAACCCTAAATCCTAAATCCTAACCCAAAAAAGGGGCGCCAGAGCAAATGGCCCACGGTTTGGGGTTATTATATAGCTACGCTAGAGGTGGTCCCGATACGGCGGTCCCTCAGTATGAAGACTTCCCGTTGGGGTTTGCCATGGGCTTTACACCGTTGACCTGTGCAGGTCAGACCGGGGAGGCTTTACCCTCCCCTCTCCGCGTCCCGCTCTTTTCGTAGGGGCGCTCGGGCTGTTAGGCCCTCGGCCAGAGCGCTCGGGGCCTGTCGTTCGACGGTTTCGGCCCCTCGCTTAGTTTAGGGTTTAGGGTTTAGGGTTTAGGGTTTAGGGTTTAGGGTTTAGGGTTTAGGGTTTAGGGTTTAGGGTTTAGGTTTAGGGTTTAGGGTTTAGGGTGTGGCAGGCGAAGTCGCGCGCTCGGGTGTGAAGCACCCCGGGCCGCGCGCTCGCGTTGCTTGTAAACCCACCCCGGCCACCCAAACTATACTCTATTAGGGTTTAGGGTTTCTACCCCCCAACCCCCCTATCAAGGGGGGCTTTTATATTTTTGCACCCATGAACGTTCCAGTTGTTGAAGTTGTGGTTTAGGCAACGGCTGGGAGTAGCCTCGGCCCTTTTCGGGCCTTCGGCATGGCAGGGCCGGCTCGGCCCTTTAACCTTATCGTTTGAAAGCTTTGGAAACCAAAAATCCAAGAAATCCCTATTTTTGCATCCATAAGGTTCCAGTTGTTTAAGTTGTGGCCTAGGCAACGGCTGGGAGTAGCCTCGGCCCTTTTCGGGCCTTCGGCATGGCAGGGCCGGCTCGCCCCTTTAACCTTATCGTTTGACAGCTTTGGAAAATCTAGATTTTAGAGCTGGTTCCTAGATCCTAAATCCTAAACCCTAAACCCTAAATCCTAAATCCTAAACCTTAAAACCTAAATCCTAAATCCTAAACCCCAAATCCTAAATCCTAAACACCAAATCCTAAATCCTAAACCCTAAATCCTAAACCTTAAATCTTAAATCTAGATTTTAGAGCTGGTTGTCCTTTTCCGAAAAGGACAAGCGCGACTAAATATTGAAATCCGGAAGCTTAAGAGCAGCCACACGAAAAGAATTGAGGTGACCTCGAGATTCGCAACCGGCCTTCTCTAAAAGGCACATTTTATGAACAGAATTTGTCACTTGAAAATCACCAGCAAAAATCCAAATTTCCGGAGGCTAAATCCTAAATCCTAAATCCTAAACCCTAAATCCTAAATCCTAAATCCTAAACTCAAGGCATAGGCCGCCCACCTACTGTGGGTGGGCGGCGCTTAAGCCGCTCGACTTCGATGGCGCAGAGCGACCCAAGACGGCTGCCCGCCTCTCCACAGCCATGGGGACGGCAGCGCCCGCGGCTTGCCCGGTACCGGAACACGTTCTCCTCGGGACCAGTACTGGTCCCTTAATAAAGTCAATAATGTAAACCCTGAGGTCCAAGTTTTGGGGTGGCTGGCCCTGTGGGCACCCCTCCAAAAAGGGACCCCCCAGGGGGGGCTTGGGGCTTCCAGCGAGCAAGAGTTCAAGAACCTAGGGGCCTCCAGGCCTGTCCTAGGGGGAGCTTGGACAAAAACTGTTTTTTGCCCACCTCACTTTGCCTGCTGGCTCCCTGGCCCCCCCTGGCCTAAAAGGAATAGGTTTGGGTGGCTTGGCCGCCTCATACGGCGTGGGGTGGGATAGAAAGAAAGGAAAAGCCTTCCATGATCAGGCTTTCGCACCTGGTCGCGGTAGTACGACGCACTTGACAGGACTTTGTCGCAAATTACTTTCGCCTACGCGCTACTCTACGGCAAACCCTAAATCCTAAATCCTAAACCCTAAAACCTAAATCCTACATCCTAAATCCTAAATCCTAAATCTTAAATCCTAAATCCTAAATCCTAAACCCTAAATCCTAAATCCTAAATCCTAAACCCTACATCCTAAATCCTAAATCCTAAATCCTAAACCCTAAAACCTAAATCCTAAATCCTAAATCCTAGACTAAACATTGAAATCCGGAAGCTTAAGAGCAGCCACAAGAAAAGAAAGGAGGGGACCTCGAGATTCGCAACCGGCCTTCTCTAAAAGGCACATTTTATGAACAGAATTTGTCACTTGAAAATCACCAGCAAAAATCCACATTTCCGGAGGCTAAATCCTAAATCCTAAATCCTAAATCCTGAATCCTAAATCCTAAATCCTAAATCCTAAATCCTAGATCCTAAATCCTAAATCCTAAATCCTAAATCCTAAACCCTGAAATCCTAAATCCTAAATCCTAAATCCTAAATCTCAAATCCTAAACCCTAAATCCTAAATCCTAAATCCTAAATCCTAAATCCTAAATCCTAAATCCTAAACCCTAAATCCTAAATCCTAAATCCAAATTTCCGGAGGCTAAATCCTAAATCCTAAATCCTAAACCCTATAAATCCTAAATCCTAACCCAAAAAAGGGGCACCAGAGCAAATGGATCACGGTTTGGGGTTATTATATAGCTACGCTAGAGGTGGTCCCGATACGGCGGTCCCTCGTTTCGAAGACTTCCCGTTGGGGTTTGCCATGGGCTTTACACCGTTGACCTGTGCAGGTCAGACCGGGGAGGCTTTACCCTCCCCTCTCCGCGTCCCGCTCTTTTCGTAGGGGCGCTCGGGCTGTTAGGCCCTCGGCCAGAGCGCTCGGGGCCTGTCGTTCGACGGTTTCGGCCCCTCGCTTAGTTTAGGGTTTAGGGTTCAGGGTGTAGGGTTTAGGGTTTAGGGTTTAGGGTTTAGGGTTTAGGGTGTAGGGTGTAGGGTGTAGGGTTTAGGGTTTAGGGTTCAGGGTTTAGGGTTTAGGGTTTAGGGTTTAGGGTTTAGGGTTTAGGGTGTAGGGTGTAGGGTTTAGGGTGTAGGGTTTAGGGTGTGGGGTTTAGGCCCGGCTTAAGGGTTGGACATGGTGAGTCATGGTCATGGTAGAAACTGTGCAGCCGGAGTTCTTATGCTCTGGCTGCGGAGTGTGTGTGAGCTGCGCTGACTAAACGATGGTGGCAGGTCCCTAAACTGAACCTTAAACCCTGAACCGTCAGGTCAAGGACGTCTACTACAATGCCAGCCCGGCTGTGCTTTACGAGCAGGCGCTGCGTCACGAGGAAGGCATCTCGGTGGATCGGGATCGATGGATGTTCCATGGGTTTTGGCTTTATGGCGTTACCTTAAACCCTAAACCCTGAACCCTGAGCCCTGAACCCTGAGCCCAGAAGCCTGAACCCTAACCCTAAACCTCCAGATGGAAAGGCTGCAGTTCCTGTATTAGAGATTTTCTTGAGGTCGCAGGCACTGAGCAAATATCACCCGGCAATCTCCTTCTCATTTTCGAAAGCCCTCAGAACTAGTGATATTGTGAGTAGTCGTAGTTGTAAACATGTGGGTATCGTAGTTGTATTCGTTTATGTATGGGTATGAGTATGAGTCTTAGTATGAGATTGTGGAGCCGCCCATGCACCCCAGCTCCCCCACGGCGCCACACCCCCTCGCAACAACTCAGCGCAACCCCGCTTACATCGCGAAGCCCTATGTCCAACCAGGCCCCCGAACCCTAAAACCTTGAATCCCAAACCCCAGTCCCTTAAACCCGAAGCCCAAAATCTTAAACTGTAAACCCTAGACTCCCAAAACCTAAACCCACGCCGCCGACCAAGATAACCTCACTAAGTATACCCGGGTCCAAATCCTAAACCCTGTATTCAAGACCCCCCTGAACCCTAAACCCTATATCAAAAAGCCCCATAAACCCGAAACCCTAAATAAAAAGACCTAAACCCTAAACCCCCAAAAATCTTTAAACCCCGAACCAAGGCAGCTTCGTCACCCGCCTAAACCCTAAACCTTAAATTCAACTCTAAACCCGAAAGTAAACCGTAAACTAAAAAAAAGCCTTAAAACCTCTAAACCCGAAATCAAACGGTAAACTTAAAAAACAAAAACAGCCTTAAAGCCTCGACCGAGGTAGCTTCATCACGGCCTCGGGTGCCCTGTCGGTCACGAGTGGCAAGAAGACCGGCCGATCACCCAAGGCCACGCTTTTGGGGGTAGTTGGGTTACTCCTGGGCTTTGGGGGTTTAGGGGTTTAGGGATTGGGGTTCAGGGTTTAGGGGTTTAGGGGCTTTGGGTTTAGGGGCTTGGGGTTTAGGGTTCAGGGATTGGGGTTTAGGATTTAGGGGTTTATGGGGTTGAGGGTTTGGGGCATAGGGGGTCACTGTCACCTGGGTAGTTCTCTGAACTACGATCCCTTTTTGGGGTGCACGAAAAGGTTTCAGCAAACCAAAACTGACCTTGATGTCATAGCGATGTAGTGCTAGTGATGCTAGTGAATGCCACATTCAGAGTTGTCCCTCCTCTCAGCACAAGTGCTGCTACGAGTTGAAACCCCTTTGACACCTGCACACGGGCTTGCTTTACAGGACGTATACTGAAATTAGGATCGGCATTTGGGAACGGGGGGTTTGCGAATGAGGGGTCTGCCTTTTTTTTTTCCCGTGCGGCGGCTGCAGTCAGGACAAGCGCATCGTGGAGGAGTATGACAGCGTGCGCGACATTTGGTGGGGCAAGGTCAACATTAAGTTGGAGGAGGCCAGATTCACGAGTAGCAAAGGAACGTCTGGCCGTTGCCAACTTGCCAACACCAGAGTAGATTGGAGCCTGCATTTTGACTCGAGTCTGCTGTCACCTGACATAAGACCCGATGTCAAGAGTCACACGCCTGCAACATGGTCAGGCTGTGTTCGAGATCAACCGTGAGCGAGCCGTGGACTACCTGAACACTCAGAAAAGGCTTTACGTTGTGGACGGCTTTGCAGGCTGGGACGTTCTGCCATGTCCAGGTTTCCAGGGAGGGCCATCTGTAGTGACTGTAGTGATCGTCATCATCGCCGTTATTTCAACAGTAGTGGCAACCGTAGTTGTCGTTGTGATGTTGTGATAGTAGTAGTTGCAGGAGCCGTAGGCCGTAGACGTAGTTTCAGTCGTACTCGTAGTACTAACAACAATGATACGAGTAGTAAGTGTATTCCAGAACAGGAGGATTAAACGATTAGTAAGACTACACTCGCAGACTAGCCAGGGTAGCAAGACCAAGAACAATTCTGAGAAGAGAAGGGTTAAGATCAAGAGCACTATGAGTGCTGAAGTCCACAATGGTGCTTGTGGCAATGCTTGTCGTGACGCAAGTAGAAGAAGTAGAAGTAGTGGTAGTAGTCGTTAGTGGTCGTAGAAGTCGTCGAAGTCGTCGCAGTTTTGGTGATAGTGGTAGTGATAGTGGCAGTGGCTGTGGCAGAGGCAGTGTTTGTGGTCGTAGCAGCAGCAGGAGGAGGAGGGAGGAGGAGCAGGAATAATAGTAGCGGTAGGCAGGTGTAGAAGTAGCACCAGAAGTACTTGTAACAGTAGCAATCGCAGCAGTACCGGACAGTAGCAACAGTAGGTGAGAGCGGTGTTCGGAACAGTAGCGCTTACAGTAAAAGCTGTAATCACGGCAGTCACTGTAAGACGAGATAATATGTGCAAAACTGCTTATAGCAGAAGCAGTCAGAACAGCAATGGCACTCAAGACTGTGCTATTGGCAGTTCTCGTAGCAGCAGCAAGACTGTAGTTAATCGTTTTAATCTGGTAGCAGTCATCGCAGGTCGTATTGCTCCAAGTAACACAAGGAAGGAAAGTCAATTCCAGCGCGCTTGCCGAACTAGCGTTTTGCCGGAAGGCTGGGACGAGGAGTACAGAATCCCCATCCGCGTCATCACCTCCAGGGCATATCATGCTCTCTTCATGCAGAACATGCTGGTTCCGCCGTCGAAGTCGGAGCTCTACCAGTTCGAGGCCAGTGCCTTCCCCCGGCCGTTCGTGATCTTCAATGCAGGCTGCAGCTGGGGGGTTTGTGGGCTTAAGTCGCTTAGGGCAGGGACTAGGCTGCAAAAAAGAGAGAGAATTTCCCTGCTGTGACATGGTAAACAGCAGTTCCTGACACTGTGTGGCAGGCTGCTTCCCATGCAACCGGCACACCGCGGGCATGACCTCAACCACTTCCGTGTCCTTGTCGCTCTGCCGGGGAGAGATGGTGATCCTTGGCACGCAGTACGCTGGGGAGATGAAGAAGGGAGTCTTCACGGTGATGATGTATCACATGCCTTTGCGACCTGAGCGGCATCTGGGCCCTGCAGAAAGGGCGCTGCCACTGCACTCTTCCTGCAATGTGGGCCCTGAGGGAGATGTGTCCCTGTTCTTCGGGCTTAGTGGGACAGGGAAGACGACTCTCAGCGCGGACCCGGCGAGAAAGCTGATTGGGGATGACGAACATGTCTGGACGTCAAAGGGTGTCTTCAACATCGAGGGCGGCTGCTACGCCAAATGCATCAACCTCTCGCGGGAGAAGGAACCCGAGATCTACGATGCTATTCGCTTCGGCAGTGTGCTGGAGAACGTGGTCTTCGATGAGTGGAGCCGAAAAGTTGACTATGACAACGTCTCCCTCACGGAGAACACACGGTGTGCATACCCCTTGCACTACATCCCCAACGCGCTGATCCCGGCCAAGATCGACAGCCACCCAAGCAACGTGATCCTGTTGACCTGCGACGCCTTCGGTGTGCTACCACCGATCTCCAAGCTCACCAAAGAGCAGGTGATGTAGTTTGGGGGCCTTAATATTTGCCTATACTATTTTGGGGTTCCTGATTATAATTTTAGTGTAATGGGGCCACAAAGAGCAGGTGATGTACCATTTCATCTCCGGCTACACCGCCAAGGTCGCCGGCACGGAGATGGGAGTTACGGAGCCGCAGGCCACCTTCTCGGCTTGCTTCGGGGGTCCCTTCCTGGCCATGCACCCCTACCACTATGCGGAGATGCTTGCAGCGAAGTTAGAGAAGCACGGGGGTCATGCCTGGCTGTTGAACACCGGCTGGGTGGGTGGTGCCTACGGCGTCGGCGAGCGGTGTCCACTGAAGTTCACCCGTCAGCTGGTGGATGCCGTGCACGACGGCACACTGGCGGGCCTGGAGGACGAGGACTGACAGCCCTACACTCAACCTGACATCCCGATTCGCTTTTTTAGTTGCCCTGGGGATATATTTTGCTCTCTGGGAGTAGGCTCCTGCTCCGTTATAGTCAATTGAGAACGTGATATTGGTACTGTTTTTGTGGCCTCCACCACTCCGTTTGCAAACGGACAGGCCAGCAATCAAGCAAGCACAAAGCAGCGAGCGAGCAAGCTCCGACAGGCTTCCGCAGCGAACTCTGGTCTAGAAACAAGGTGAGGTAGACCTGAGCTCTGCAGACCATGAATCCTGAATTCTGTCGGACTGCCAGCATTCCCAAAGATTTGGGGCTGACAGACGCAGCCGCTGAAAGTCGTGGAGTGTACTACTACGACGACGACGACTACTACTACTGCTGGTGTTACTAGTACCACTGGTACTACCGCCACCACCACCACCACGAACGACGACGGCAACGACGATTACCACGACCACAGCGACGACCACAATAGCGAAACGACGACGACTACCATTACCTGCTGCTAGTGCCACTACTAGTCATCATCGTCATCGTCATACAGGTAGTAGTGGTAGTAGTAGTAGTAGTCGTCGTCGTAGTAGTAGTAGTAGTAGCAGTAGCAGTAGTAGTATTAGTAGTAGTAGTAGTCGTCGTCGTCGTAGTAGTAGTAGTAGTAGTACTAGAAGTAGTAGTAGTAGTCGTCGTCGTCGTCGTCGTCCTGCTGCTCCTGTTGCTGCTGCTGGTGCTGCTGTTGCCGGTGCTGAGATTCTTGCAAGTGTTGCCGTTTCATGGTCATGGATGGACATGTTGGCAACTGCTATGGCTGTTATTGGCTGTGTGGTTTGAATCGTTATAGCTATTTATTGTGCTTCTGCTGTGCAAGGATGCTGATTTCGATATTGCTAATGAGTTTGCTGTGCTATCCCGGATAAGTTTACAAAAAGCCCTATGGCCCGAGCCCGAGACCCCAAAACTACAACCCCAAACCTCAAACCCCGAACCTTTGAGGACTGGGAGCCCGGAACCCTAAACCTACACCTCAAAACCCGAAACCTTCAGGACCGGGTTTAGGGTCTTGGGGTTAAGGTTTAGGGTAAACCCAAACCGCGAGGACTGGGAGCCCCTGCCTATCTTCGGCCTCCGAATGCCCCGGAAAGCCGTGAAGGGCGTGCCCAGGGAGATCCTCTGCCCGGAGGCTGCCTGGAGGCCCCTTTGTGGTTCTCTTGAGGGTTCCTTTGAGGGCTGCTTTAAGGGCAGGGTCCCTTGGCTCCTTTAAGGGTTCCTTTTGGGGGGGTTTCTATAGAAGCCTAAATGCATTTGTTTTTATTCCTCAGGGCTTCTTGTTATAACTCTACTAGAAAGGAGCCCAAACCCTATTTTGATTTTTGAGGCCTTTTGAAATTAGAAGGTTAACGGGTCGAGGGCTCAGTGTTAGCGGCTCAGGGTTCAGGGGTTGGGGTTTACGGTTCAGGGATTAGGGTTCAGAGAAGGGCTAGTGGGGTCTTCATGGGGTTTATGCGGTTCTAAACAAGCGCCATGATGCTTGGTATTTAATATGGATGAAGGGTTATGTGGTAGTATAATCAAAGAGCAGGATATTGTTACATATCGTTACTTCTGTTCCAGACCTCCATGTTAGGGCTTGAGGTTTGTAGACTTTATGGTTCTTTGTTGAGTTGCTCGTCCTGTGCAATCGGGTTTCGGGTTTTCCGGTTTTCAGGTTTTCCTGGGTCTTACATCGCCTTGGCTTTGTTCGTGATTCGTTTACGTACTCGACCATTGCCATCATACCCCTTCAATACATCCTTGTCTCACTTGATCATTACGCCATGACTCCAAACCCCGCATCCCCGAGTAAAACCGCCAAAACCCCCAAACCCCTAAACCCTTAAACCCCCAAACCCCCACACCCCTAAACCCTCAAACCCCAAACCCCCACACCCCTAAACCCCTAAACCCCCACAAACCCAACTCTCCCTGCTTCCGTTTGGAATTGAGAGGTCCCGTGGCCAGTCCTCTGCGGAGTTCTGGGCCGCGGCCAGCAAGTTGGCCTTGTTACCGGGTGGCAGCTTTTGGGGTTCAGCGGTTTAGCATTTTGGTTTAGGGTTTTGGGTTTAGGGATTTAGGATTTTGGTGTAGGATTTTGGGTGTAGGGTTTGGGGTTAGGGTTCAGGGGTTTAGGTTTTGGTTTGGGATTTTGGTTTGGGGTTTAGAGTTTTGGGGTTTAGGTTTTTGGTTAAGGATTTTGGGTTTAGGGGTTTAGGATTTTGGTTTGGGGTTTAGGGTCTTGGGGCTTAGGGGTTTAAGGTAGCATTTGGGAGGATTTGTAGCTTTCTCGGTGGTGTTTGGAGTTTAGGGCGAGGTGCTTATTCATCAGTAAATGTTTGGGGGCCCTTGAACCCGCAATCCAGGCTATTCCAGAACAATTTTGAGGAGTACGCTCCGCAGTGCCTGCCGGCCGTTGTACAGGCAGGCCCGCAGGCACCAAAGGAGGCGTCCGGCTACCCGTGAGGCCATTGCCGGGCCAACACTTTTAATATAGTTTGGCATAACACTAAAAGCAAGGACCCTTAATAAGGACCCCTAGGCATATACCCATAATATAGCTATTATATACCCATTATAAAGCCCATTATAGAGTAAGGGTACGCGCTCAGCAACGGGAGGTTCCGGTGCAGACACAGCGTGATCAGTCAGAGGCTTTCAACACTGGCTGATGCCCCGTGCGAAGACCCTTGTCACTCCTGACACAGGGTCTCACCCTAAACCCTAATCAATTACGTAAAACCTAAACAATACGCCCTGAACCCTAGTAACAGAAGCCTGCATTGTAGTTACAAAACAGCCGGGGTATGGGCAATCCTTGAGCATAGGCTCGCTTCGCCCACCGCTGCCTGGTCCCGTCCTTCCGTCAGGGCGACGCTTAGAGGTTGCTCCTTTCCTGCTTGGGCAAGGGGCAGCTGTTGTGTAATCCTAAAACGCAGCCGTCTAGATCTAGCAACTGCAACATGGTCCAAGCGTAGCAGTACACAAATCCTCAAGCATAAGCGTAACAGTCACAACATCTTGCTTGCACTTGGTCTCAGGTTCACAGGTCCAGGTAGACCAATGCAAGTTTCCCGTCGGGACTTCCGAAAAAGCTCAATGCGTGATCAGGTCTCATCTTCGTTTTTGGGAGGTCCGCCGTTTGAAAATTGTACCAAGAAGTGGAGTGTCACCTATGCAGACCTCCAGAAGCCTTGCGATGCAGGGTGTATTCCGTTTCGATAAAGTTTGCTCGCGTCTCCTACATCCACCTAAACCCTAAACCCTAAACCCTAAACCCCAACCCCTAAACCCTAAACCCTAAACCCCAAACCCTAAACCCTAAACCCCAAACCCCAAACCCCAAATGGTGGCGTGATCGAGGGTTTGGTGGCAGAAGGCCGCCTCGGTATAGACTGCTCGACCGCCTCAGCGAGAAAGACTCGGATTTGCTGCTTTCTGGATGCTTTCCCTTTGGATGGGGTTAGGGGGCTTAGTAAGTAGATGGTAAGTAGAACCAGACCCTCCAAGTTTGGATGGGGTTGGGGGACTTTAGCAAGTAGGTAGTAAGTAGAACCAGTTACTAAGTCCCCCCACCCTCCAAGTTTGGATGGGGTTGGGGCTGGATGCTTTGCACCTTGATGTCCACCACTCAGTAATTGACGAGGGTTCTGACAGGGGTCGCAATACGAAAAGCCTCAAGAGGGAGCTTTAGGGTGTTTAGGGTTTAGAGTAGCTACTACTGGGGCCGATGTCCTCCAGGGATCCCAAATCCTCAGCCGTGAACTTTAAAATCGAAACCCGAGCTGCAGCAGAAATGAAAGCACGGCTCAGGTGGGTCGACCTTGACCGAACTCAAGAAGCAGATTGCGAATGTGGAGGTTTCGGCCATGGCTTCTGCTTCACTGGTTGCCTTTCTTTACTCCGTGTGTATGTGTGTTCTTGCTCTTGTATTGGTGATCCTGAGCCGCAGAGTATTTCTCAGTAGTGCTGATGTAACCTAAACGACTAGAACTGGTATGATTCTCGCGACATCATTGGTGTTGATAGCCGTTCTAGCATCCACCCGCTGGTAGAGACAGCGATCATGATCGTGCTGATGATGATGTTGTTGATGATGTTACCTATCATGTTGTAATAACTGTGCTTGAGATTCTCAGCAAAGCTACTCTGACTCTCACTGCACAATCATGTTGTCGTTCTACACCGTTAAGAGGGGCTGGCGCTAATATCGGCAAGTTGACTGTAGCGAGTAGAGTTGACTCTCTCAACTTGCCGAGGTGAGAGGGTGCAAGTGCGCATTGAGCTTCGGATGTTGCGTGTCAGGGATTCTGGTGTCTTGGTTCCTAAACCCTAAACCCTCAACCCCATTGTTTCGAGTTTCATGTCTTTACGTCCGGTGTAATTAGTGTCGAGCACCCCTGGGCGGGATGTGCTTGGGTTCGTGAGTGTCCAAAAAGAATCAGCGGAACAAGTAAGTGACCATCAGGCGAGCACCCCACTTGTATCGGTGAGCCGTACTTGTAGATCTAGGAGTTTCTGAAAATCAGGGGTACCTTATTCTCGGGTCCTTTTGATGAGGATCCTACTCTTCAGGGTACTGTATTAGGGTGCCCGGGTGCCCTATTTTCGGAAACTCCCATATGAGTGAACCTGCAAGTGCAAGACCCAGGCAAAGCTGAACCAGCAGAAGAATCTCTACGACAATGTCTGCATGGACAGGTGTGGCACCTTCTATCCGCAACTCCTCCCCCTCCCCTAATTCAAAATTCACCCGAGTGTCAACGTCCCGAACCCTTGAGCCTAATCAGGTTTGCTCTGAACCCTGAAACCTACACCCTCAAGCCTTCGTAGGTTGGCACTCTAAATCCGCTTCTTCCTCTCGCAATCTCTGGCTTGCTACCATCCTCCTGCCGTGTACGATCTGCAGCGCAGGGGCTTCATAGGTAGAGTTTCTGGCTTCGAGTTTGTCATTTCGGGTTAAGGTTCGGTGTGAAATTGCATAGGACAGTGTTGCACCCTCCTTTCCCGGTGATGAGTTGAAAATTCAGGGCACGGCTTCGGCCGCAGTCAACAAGCATGTGCATGAGTTCCAAATTTATGGGTAGCTTCGTCAGGGCTATACCGAGGGTAGCTGATGTTCCCCTACACCCTAAACACTGCACATACCTGCAGGGCTTGCTTTCAAGCTGCTTCGAAGTGACGCATGCAGAAGGAAAAGCAACACACAGCGGATCTCTGCTCGAAAGATGCGAGCCGAACCGCCTCACCCTTAAACCGCAAAAATCCTCAAGCCCTACACAAATCGTAAACGCCCAAATCGAATGTTGCGATCGCAGATGTTGGCCAGGAACACGCAGGCCAAGAGCTTGGTCGAGTCGAACGAGGAGATCGCCGTGCCTTGCCATGCTGAGTTCTGCTTCTCACTTCGTCATAATATCGGGAGCGTCCTACTTAGAATAGGGTTGTGGGGTGGATTGTACTTTAATTAGGGGTAGTAAGGAACGGTTAAGGAATGATGCAGGTAAGCATTCAGGCTTCTACAATAAGTTCTGCTTGTCTGAGACTTTAACCAGGCAGCACACTATCTCTGGCGTTCGGGAATGCATGTTCAGTCGAACCATCTCTCTATCGTATTATTATCCCCGATTATCCAGTTGGGTGGTTGTCAAAATCGGGATCCGTCTTTGGGTACTTTAAATAATAGGTGCCGTAGTATATTAAGGTTCCAAAAAGGGACCCGAATTTTGACAACCACCCAGTGAAGGATTTAGACAAAATCCGAAGCTCGGCCCCACACAAGAAGAAGTTGAGGTGCGAAACCGCAAGGCTGCACCCGCACCCTAAACCCTGAACCTCAAGCCCTAAGATCCTCCAACCCTTAAACCCTATATACCTGGAGGGTCGGGGGACCTAGTAACCAGTTAGTTTACAGACTTATGAGTATCATCACGCTAACTAGGGTCCCGTGGAGGGTTCTTATAAGTCGACTTACTACCTGCATACTAAGTCCCCCGGCCTTGCCAAACTTCGGAGCCTTGCGTGGTTTTACTTTAGCCGGGGAGGGGGAAGTAGTTTTTGGGAATGCGGGGGCTTCGAGTCACTATTACTGTTTGACATCACTTCCAGGTGTCCCAGATGTTCTAAATAGTTTTTTTTCCCTGCGTTCCCTTATGTTGAGATACTCCTACATGGCGAGCTAAGGAGATGATGCGGAAGTTCAAGATCATGCGAGCCCGGCATGTTTGCGAAATCGCATCCGCTTGGACCTGAAAGGCTTCAAGGTTTAGGATCTGCGGCAGTGTAGGGGTTGGAGTACATAGTACTAGTATGCCTTCATAGCTCCGATATTCTTAAAGAAGAATACACTGTGACTATGCCCCAAGATCCTATTTGAAAATCCTGTAGGCCTCTCTTCGTTCAGGCCTCATCTTCCAAGCCTGCAGGCCCTGACTGATAACCCCCGCCGATTTGTTCTCCCCTGCGCTTCTAGAAGGGTTTCTAAAATGTCTCTACTAGATTTCTGCACGATATGGTTCCTACAAGGCTTCTATAAGGTTTCTACAGGGATTCATCGTTGGGCAGTCCGCCGTTCTGACTTTCGTGGAGTGGAACCTTCTCCTTGCATGCAATCACTTTAAAACCCGAAACCCTAAGAAGCACAGAAAGAAGCTACTGCACTTTATAAAACCCTAAAACATATGCGACATGCGGAGAGCGTGTCCAAGATCTGTTTGCTCCGCCTTTCAGAGGGCGAGGAGGACTCGATCTTCTACCGGTCTATCTGGCCGATTTTCCGTGGCGTTTTCTGCCCTTCTTGCGCAGAGCGGTGGCCGGGGCCAGTGGCCCGGAGCTTATCCCGATGAGCCTGGACGGGGTCACTGTGCCCAATTCGAGCACCTTTGGAAGCCACTGTGGAGGGCTGGATCGGGGAGGTCGTAGACGATCCTGCTTTCGCCGAGTATGTGACAGCCGAAAGTGCGCCGGGCACGGATGGAGAAAGGGAAGAGCGCGATTCCACGCCGGGGCCGCCCGCTCATGTGGCTGCCGTTCTTTCGGGGCCTAAACACTCGAATGTCATGGACCGGTTCAACGCCGATCAGCCGAGATCCGGTGTCTTGTAATGTACCCAAAGACAATAGACCCTCAACATTGAGCCTGCCACTTCGAAAGATTTGCGGAAGGGTCGTTTCTGTAAGCAGCACGTGTTGTGAAGGGGAAACATGCTGTAATAGGACTCAGTATGCAGCGCAAACGAAAAGCAATGTAGACAATACGACCAATTGACATGTTGAAATGCTGTTTCAACACGGCATGAAAACCGCCAGCTGTGCTGACAAAGCTGGCGGACGTCATTAAATCCCTAAACCGTCAGCCCTAAGCCCACTCACTCTGAATCCTTGAAGGATCCCTAACCCCATTCTAATTAGTAGAGCCGTAAATGCACTCTAGACCCATTTAGAGCCCTGAACCCAAAGTCCCAATTC